ATAACAGAAAGTAGAAATGCGTAATGTCGTCACAGTCTCACGCGCGCGTTTTACTAACCCGACTGTGGCGGTGTGTACGGCAGGTACCGTCTGTTCCGCGACCACTGTGTATGTGTGCACGGCAACTACATCAAAGATCTCAGCATCCTGGGCAGGGACCTGTCGCGTACCATCATCGTCGACAACTCGCCGCAGGCCTTCGGCTACCAGGTACCGAGGGCACACGCGTCCTGATTATCACAGATGGGTTACTTGGGATGCATTGTCGGAATTCGCACCAAGTAGTCATTTTATTTGTAATATCCCATAAATTAGCGCCTTTTTGTCATTACATTGATTTTTTCATATGGCTCACGGTTTGCGAGTGTTTGCAATCTTAATGATGTAGTATCTTTCTGTTTAATATTTCGACGTGATGAATTTATTTGACTCTAATATTACCCGCACATCGTTTACCGATACTCGTGTTAGCTGATAAGTTATGTATCGCATGGCTCAATTTGTAAAGCCGTTTGACGTTGTTCTTTTTTTCAGTTCGAGAATGGGATTCCGATCGAGAGCTGGTTCATCGATAAACAAGACAGGGAACTTCTTAAGCTGATACCGTTTTTAGAGCATCTACACTCATTGGTAGGTATCAGTTCATTTTAACCTTTGCACGTGTGTTTTGGAGACTCATTACTTATAAAGTCCAGGAATGTCTACGGCATTTACATGAGAAGTTGTCACATAAAATGTTAGTATCCATGGCTCCGTACCCATAACAACCGGGTAGCTGCGTTCCAACCATATCTGTCTTCATTCGTCCGCTCATTTCGCCCGTGTGCTCTAGCTCGTCTCGTATAACCTTCCACGAACCTCAGACAATCATATTATAAAGCTCAGCAATATAGATGTCACTGATTGGACTGCGCTTGGAGTGGCTCGCTCTTGGCCAGTCCAGCAATGCGTCTGGCGTTATCCATCTGCTTTGTGTGCAGTTATAGCGCTAAGAGACGCTAAGTTACTGTTCAAATGAACGATGATGTGGTATTTATTGTGAAATGTAAGGAGAGATCCAGTGGAGAGCTGGTTTATCCTACTTCCTTAAATTTACTACGTCCTCCGCCACCCCACCTACGGCTACCCACTCATACCGAGACTCTTTACTTACAGGGTTGGCATTTTTGCCGGCAAAAACTAGTTTATGCCATTTGCCGGTTTAAACCGGTTTTAACCGGCAAAAAGTGGCAAAAACTGGCAAAAACTAAGAAATACCACAATGCTATGCTTGGACATGAATTTGAACATGAAGCATTTTAAGGAGAATTCGGTGAAAGCTTTATGCTTTCAAACAAAAGTGACATTGACCATTGAAATGCTTCATAACTCAAACATTTTCATGGGCTTTCCATAAGGAGCTAGTAAGATGCCTTTTGGGGTGACAAATGAGCCAGTGCAAGGGTGACTGGGTGAGTCCTGCACAATCAGAAGTGCGAAGGGGCATCTGCCACTGATATGCGCACGGCACCGCATGGCACCTTACTTACCGTGGCTGTCTTGCCCCACTCTCCCCTACATGGAAATACGTTCCGTTGTGGATGTCTACCGACATGCATAGACATTTTAAGCAGGGATAAGTAATGAGGCAGCTTTAGAATGTTTAGTGCATCTACATAACTACCAGAAATGCATTTGTACATTACAAATCCATTCCTAACTAGAAAAGTTGTAGGTTTGGCCATCTGAGTTTTAGCCAGTTTTTGCCAGTTCTTGCCACCAGGGTTTCTGCCAGCCGGTTTAAACCGGTTAAAACCACTGGCAAAAACCAGTTTTTGCCACCCCCTGCCAACCCTGTTTACTTATGTACGGCTGCTCTGAAAACGTGACCTGAACTGACAGTAATCCGAAGCCCTCGGAACCCTCTGAGGTCTGAACCGTATTCGACCTCCTAACGACATCTGTCAGAACTAGGAACCGGCCAGGTCTGGTAGGCTCAGTGTCGGTACGCGCGCCGTGACTAGGAAGTATCTTGTAATTCTGGCTCGCGCCCGCCCCGTTCCGTTCCTCCCGATCACTCCAGTAGTAGTCCAGCCTCTGCTTCGCCCTGTTTCGTCCTTGACCAAATGGTATTCCAGCCTCTACACTTCCCCAGTCCATCTCCCCGCGTCTTTCCAATGCACAGTGGGGATTTTTCCGATCTAGCGCCTATTAATTCAAAAAATATTTTTTGGATTTTTGTTTATTTTTTGTGTCAGTAGGGCTAAGAAATGTCTGAATTTTTCATATATGGCATTGTTTTATCTGTATGTCCACAGCAAAACTAGGAAAAATGCGCCCAAAGTTCACACTCATGCGTGATTACTCAATATTGGGCTCAGCAAGGCCCGAAAGTATAGCTCAATTTCATTGTCCTGTCCTGTTGGTTTTAATCTTGCGAGGTCTTAAAGTTGCATATCGTCTGAAAGGCACCTTTATTAGGAATGGAATGGCAAACAGAAAGTATGCCACAACCTTACTAAGGTCACAAAAATGCCCTTTACAAAAAACCCTTACAGACACCATATTGAAGGAATTGTATTCTAAATAAATGTAGGAAATCAATAATGTTCTCCACACTTTTCCACCCCGAAATATATCCTATCGAATTCGCCACTTTCTTCTGCACAAGACAACGCCTAGTTTGGCTGCCGAAACTTGCCTGAACACGGAATATTCACATTAGAGTATCTTAACACCCCACTCGAGGAGCGCTAGGGCAAACAGCACGATATAGGTATGTTCCGGACATACGCGAATTATTTTACTTCGTGATTTATATGATGCATATTTTCTGAGACACATTCATTAGGAATAGGATGACAAGCGTAAATTATACATACCGTAACCTTATTAACCATCGCACTTGTGGGGAGGGGGAGGGGGAAGGGGTCGGATAAAACCCCATGGTTTTCCGCAAATTACTCGCGCAAAAAGCGGCCGATCGCGCCGAAACTTTCGGTACCCTCTGGATCATCAATTTTACATCTAACGTAAAAATTTCATGACTCTGACCCAACTGACCTTTGACCTGTGGCATATTTCTCGAGACCATGTTTGGCCGGAATCGCGATTCGGCGTATGCCAGCTCACATTATCCGCGGTTTCCAGTCTTTTTGTGGTTTTAAACGTTCAAATATGTGAAATGATGTTGGTGCCATGCATAATGGTGGGAGTCAAGGTCACGTGAAGGTCAAATCAAGGTCATTGACCTTTTGATGACCTTGGTTCACTTTTTCGAGTTTTACTTGTTTCTAGGGTAGTTCTTGGTGCTGATTTCGATTTTAGCAGCCATTTGAATATTTACGAAGTAGTTCTAGTGCCTTCGTTCCATGTTACGAAGCTATCAGTAGTAGGTGATACTTCTATGGATGGCCGGCAGGACGCCTTCTAATTGATCTAACCTGACCTGACCCGACCTGGCCTAAATGCATAAAGACATCGTCTGTGATCAAAACTAACATGAAATTCGTGATCAGCACCCCAAAATACCCCGTAACACCCTAACTTTGCGAAGTTTCAAGAGGTCTCGATTTCCCAACTCTAGTTGGGTCATTAAACCGACTTGGAAAGTCAGCTTATGACCTTGGACTTTGAAATTGGATATATTCGGCCTAATTTCGTCATAGGCAGCACGCTTGACTTTTCCGCGAAGCTCTAGCTTGATCAGGGGCCAAACGGCTGAGAGGGGGTCCAATTGAACCCCCTATACTATGTTGATTATGCACATTTACAGGTAAAATTATCACCAGGACACACCAGCCAACATCTGTGCACAATCTGGCTACAATTCTACCTATGGTTTGCCCTCTACGAATAAATACGTGCTAGATCGGAAAAATCCCCAATGTGCAATGGTAGCCCAGCCTCCGACCCTCTCCAGCCCATCTCCCCGCGTCTGTCTAATGGTAGCCCAGCCTCCGACCCTCTCCAGCCCATCTCCCCGCGTCTGTCTAATGGTAGCCCAGCCTCCGACCCTCTCCAGCCCATCTCCCCGCGTCTGTCTAATGGTAGCCCAGCCTCCGACCCTCTCCAGCCCATCTCCCCGCGTCTGTCTAATGGTAGCCCAGCCTCCGACCCTCTCCAGCCCATCTCCCCGCGTCTGTCTAATGGTAGCCCAGCCTCTGACCCTCTCCAGCCCATCTCCCCTCGTCTGTCTAATGGTATCCCAGCCTCTAACCCGCCCCTCCCCGTGTCTGCGGACAGAACGAGGACGTCCGGCCGCACATCCGGGACAAGTACCAGCTGCACGCGCTGCTGCCGCCCGACTAGCGCCGCCGCCGCCGTCTGCCGTCTGCTGACCGACCCACCTGCCTGCACGGCGCCGCGCCGCGCCGGGAGAGAGTCCGAGAGTGAGAGAGAGGGACAGCGCGCCACCGCTCTGTTTTGTCACATGTACAAACTGTTGGTGCGTCGTTGTTGGTTGTTTGGTCGGCGCCGCCCGGGCGCTACTGAGGAGTCTGGTGGGCGCAAAGCGGGCGCCGCGACAGGAGCGGTATGTGTGCGGTCACCGGTCCCCGCGCGCACCTCCGTCGGACGCCCTCACCATACCCAGTGCACGCGCAGAGGACGCCCGTGGCCGCGCCGCCACTCTGACATTGTTGGCGCACGTTCGAACACTTGTACAATATTTTAGCAAATAAAGAGGACGATTTTATCGCTGTTGGCACTGACCAAGTGCGGAGCCTTGTATCCAACCGACTGAGGTTACAGTGCTCGTCTGTGTGAATGAATCGCTGCGATGTTTAATATTATGGAAATGCTCCGAGTCTTTGAGTTGTGTGTGCCCGTGGGATCGGCTGGATTAGGCGAGTTGTCAGCTTATTTGGAAGGTAGCTCAGGCTGCGCTTATATCTATCGACCTGAAAGAACATCCAGCAAAAGGACAACATGTTTGTATGGTTACTTGGCGGGTCTATGTTTGTCATTGTTTGTCCGTGGACCGTATGTTTGACATCGGAATGTCGGACGAATGAAGCTGGGTTTTAATCATTTTGTGTTGCACTTTTTTAAGCTATATAATGCTGCAGCTTCCAGATATCAGATGCCAGATATGTGTGCGTTTATGTATGTCGGTATCTTTTCACTCAGGTCCGATCGACGCCCTTCGCCGTCGATCCGGCTCCACTTCGGCGAGTAGTGAATGGTCTCCGATCTTGAGCTATGGCAGCCGTCTCTCTTTCTCTGACTTCGATTGCCATCTCCAGACTGCCATTTATTGGGATAAAAGTAAGCGATACTGGCTGATAAATGGATAAGCATAAACTATAAAGTCCTCGGCTCGGCATGCAAAAGGTTTTCTCTGTGGTGGATGGATGCAGATTGGTGGCTACGAAAGAAGAGTTCTCGTGTTCATATCAATATTAGTCAGCTAATGATAAATTACGCTTGGAAAATCATGTTTAGAAAGAATCTAAGCTATAACACACCAAATCATGCTCGTCAGCCCATTCGGCTTGTGAAGATTTGTAATTGTTCAACAGTGCTCACAATTTAGCTGCGGTTTCCCTTCACTTCGGCTACCGAATTTGACGCGCGTTGCGCACGACCACTTTTCGCCAATCAACAATACCTGTCTGGAAGGGAAGGCGGCAGGCGCAGGCTGTTGAGGCTGTTGAGGTGCGTGCTGTCGTTGAGAAGGATAGTATGATGACAAATATTTACTTTTGGTTAGGTAGTTTAGTTCATTTTGTTTCGGAGGTGCCCATGTTATGCTGTATGCTATTTTTCAGGTTATACATAGTCTGTACCTCCCGCATTTCTCATATGTTGTTTCAGTGTCAGTGTCACCGCGGTCTCAGATCTCGGGCTGCTTCCTGTGAAGGCCCTTGAAACATTTTAGTTGTAGGCTCTCTATATCAATATTCAGGCTAAATATGGTTTCGTGATTGCAGATTAAATGAAATACACTTTTTATAAATTTCATGTAAACCTTTTGAATGTAAGGGTTCCTACAGAGCCTCTGCTAAGCAGAGCTTGTTTTGTTGGCCCTGCCCTCTACCCTCTCCCTCTGATTGCACAATTCCTGGACCTGATCTATGGCATAATTTGGAGTCCAAAGTCTAACGTACGCACTTAGCCGTGCATGGCCGGTTCTCCCACTGACCTCACCAAGCTACAGGCCAGCTGCCAGCCTGCCACCAACTTATGGTTATTTTTGGGATAAGTTGGAATTTGGATTCTTTCAGAGTAATTTGACTTGCTGCACTGTTTTAACATTCCCCTGCTTCTATCACAAATTCATGTAATTCAATGCTCCTTGGCATACATGTGTCAGCATCATATCAGCTTCTGAATTTCAGATTTTTGCTGAAGTTGAATATCAATCTAGTAAATCTCATGGGATCATTCATGAGATGTAGATATTGGGCACACAATAAAATGATCTTACAGCTGGTATGCCTACTGCCTTAAAACACCAAATTTTCCATTACTATTTGAATTTGAGACTTCAGTAGTGACTGACTTCCCAGTAGTGATAACTGACCCAGCGATAACCGACTATGATAACTGACATTATATGACCAATGTGAATTGTGTGCCTAAAACATATTTCAAGTTATTGTCTCTGAATGCTATTTATGGCTGGCTAAGTTTTTTTAAAATAAATGTTGTGAATATGACTAATTACTGGCTATTTATGTGCATCTCTGGCATTTTACCTTTTTTTGTTGTTGTTTATGATTTGTTTTCTTTCTTTATTCCAGATTCTAACAACTGAAGAACACCAATAGCAGTTGCATTGTGAATTAAATATTTGAAAAGATTTTGCTATGGCATAACTTTTGCAAGAGATGCATGGTGTGCTTTATGTAAAATGGTATTAAGGTAGTGAATTTAAGTAGCAATGCCTAGAATTGTAGGCAAAAGAGTTGTTGGGATGATCATCAGGTCAAGAAAATCTCTGAGGAAGGAAGGAGTGTTGGTAAGTACCATTTTTACATGCACCATGAACACATCATATACCCCACTAACCCGGCGCGGACCGTCCCCTGGCCCAGTCAGCCCCGGTGGCCCACTGTTGGCCGGCCCGGTGGCCCAGTCAGTCCCAGTGGTTTGATCCGGGCCAGCCCCAGTGGCTCGATCCCAGTGGTTCGATCCGGGCCAGCCCCGGTGTCCCAGTGCGGTCCGGTCCCAGTGGTTCGATACGGGCCAGCCCCGGTGTCCCAGTGTGGTCCGGTCCCAGTGGTTCGATCCGGGCCAGCCCCGGTGCCCCAGTGCGGTCCGGTCCCAGTGGTTCGATACGGGCCAGCCCCGGTGTCCCAGTGTGGTCCGGTCCCAGTGGTTCGATCCGGGCCAGCCCCGGTGTCCCAGTGCGGTCCGGTCCCAGTGGTTCGATACGGGCCAGCCCCGGTGTCCCAGTGTGGTCCGGTCCCAGTGGTTCGATACGGGCCAGCCCCGGTGTCCCAGTGTGGTCCGGTCCCAGTGGTTCGATCCGGGCCAGCCCCGATGGCCCAGTGCGGGCCGGCCCCTCTGTCGAGTGTCCGCCGCTCGATACGGCCGTTGCCGGGTCGTTGTTTGGGTTTCGCCATCGGCGAGGGTGCGCGCCCTGCCCGTGTGGGGGCCTCCGTCAGTGCATACCTGGCCGGCCGCCGCCGTCGGCTCGCGGTGTACGGGCGAGTGACCGACGAGCGTCGCCCGTCACGGCGGTCAGATGTGCCGTCTGGGCGTCACGGGTGCCCCGTCACGGCGTCACTCGCCGCGCGTTACGTGTCGCCCGGTCTCGGTGCTGGGAGCGGAGTGGAGCCGTCACTGTTCCGCCCAGGGGCGGTGACAGCGCGCCCCGGATGGGGTCTCCTCTGGTGGGTATTTGGATGGGTTAGCTGTGTCGGTGGGTGTATTTCGAGTGTGTTCTAAGCCAGGGGCACGCAGTTGGTGCTGGGATCCCGCGGCAGGGAGGCGGGCGTCTGTCGCAGATGACGCGTGCGGTGGCCTGTCATACAGCACCTGTGTGGAGTCATAACCCAATAGTGACTAATGCATAGGTCGGGTTCTTTGTGCAGCTGTGAGCAAACAGGCTGACGGCGCTACAATATGAATGTATCGAGGTGGGCGTGTCTAGTTCACCACCTATCACGACTCGTAAATAGGGAAGTTGTAGCGATCGTATGTATACAGAGTTATGATGGCTTGCTGTATCAACAATTCACTTGCTTCACTTTCACCGTTTGCAAGCACCTCTTAACGTTCGCTTTCGTGAGTATTGAATGTGATTTGAATAGCAATCGCGATTTGCATGTTCATGCTTCCGATTCACTCTTGGCCCAGCGTGTGTTGGGCGTTTTTCCAGCGTTGCCGTCAGTCCGGCCCCCCGCTATATTCCGCAGTGGTCTGGCGGCTCTGTGTTCCGGTAATCCCCTGCGTGTCAGGGCCACCCCGCGGACTGGGCCAGTCCGGAGTGGCGTCATCCGCGCCCGCACGCCGTCCGTGCTGTTTATAGTGCTGTACCCGGGCAGATGCGGCGGCGGTGGCTGGTCGAACCGCGTGGTCATGGCTCTTCTGGGCAGTCTGTGCCGACCGTCGGGCTGCAGCCCGGTCGCCGGGCGCCTCTCACCGCCGCGGGACCGGTCGGGCGCGGACGGGCGCCACACTCCGGCGTGACGTCAGAATCCCACCGTTCGCGGCGCGCTGCGGCGGCCCTGACCGTGGCGCGCGTCCTCCTCCGTCCGCCCGCCCGCCCGCCCGCCGCCGGGGGAGCTTTCTCTCGGCGCTGACCCCTCGCCGTTGGTACTGGTCTGAACAGGCTGAGTCAGTCCCATGACCGCGTGTTTGGTCTGGGCGGCGATAGCGGCTATCGGATGTCCATTTTGTCACTCCTATCGCGCCGATATATTGTGGGAAGGACCGGGCCGGCGGCAGGAAGCCTGCGGCTGGTCTCCGACCTTGATTCGGGGCACACGGTTTGGATCGGCCACTCCTTGTTCACACAGTGGGTTTGACTGGTCCAATCGATGGTGGGCGATGACTGTATGTAGTCACTGCGAATGGATGTTATGTAACCTGATGAGTTATTGACTAATGTGTCGTGGCCAGTGTCATTCTTGTTCTGTTTCAAGCTCTCATATCCCTAGAACTAATTTCTTTCCTCCGCAGTGCTGTCTTTTATGTATTTCTTAAGCAGTTGCAATGACGAATGATTTGTATATCCTAACAGACCGACGAGTGAAACGACGCACCGTTGCGGATTTGCCGGAATTTGTGGTCCGTGTGCTGGTGTGTTGGTTCCGAGACATGACCCGGCGTACCGGCCTGGCTCGACTGGTCACTTGCTCACAGAAGCCCCGCTGTGGCGCTCAAACCAGCTCCTCCCGGAAAGCCCGTCACTCCAGTGCCGCTCAAACTCGTCCCGGTGACGTTGTGTCGTCAGTGGATCGTGATGTCACTGCGGTGACAATCAGCCGCCGTTTGCGTAATGCAACGTATCGTTCCAATTTCCGATTGACATCACCATTCTGTATCTCACTTCCGCCGCGGATAGCACATTCCGCGTGCTCGAGCACCTCTGCAGAGCCGGGCCGCGGCCGGCGGGCTGGCGGCGCGGTCCGAGCCCGGTTGAAGAGCGCCCGGTGGCGACCTTGTCCCGGCGGCAGTGCGGCCGGAGCTGGACGGGAAGCGGCGCGGAAAGGGCCGGCCGGCGGCCGTGAGCCGGGCCGTGACGACAGGGAAATGTGTTGGCGCCGACACCGCGCCGACCCGACCGGGTGCCGCTCCAGCTGACCGAACGGGGAGGTCGGGACACAGGACACTGGACAGGGCCCGGGCTCTAGACTCTGTGACTGCCGCGACGATTGACGTGCACTATGCATGCATGGCAGAGCCGAAGCTATTGGGGTCGCTTGCAATAGGCATTATTAGCCGACTCACGATTGCAATATGCCCCGGTTTACAGCTCCATCTGTCCTTATTTTGTTGGTACTGTGGATCTATTTATTGCTTCTATTTTCGATAGAGCTATTACGAGTATCGGCCGTTCCCCGGCAGTAGAGGAGGTATTGGGAGGCTCACTCTCCGTCTCCGCCGACGTCATCGGGGGCGTGTCGGTGACGTCACTGACGTTGTTATGAGTTCGCCGATCCTCGGACGGATGTTTGGGCTCCCGGGTGATGTACGACTCGTGGCCCTGCTTTAATGAACAGACCCGCTGTGCCGCACTCCCGGGCTGGCTGAGAGCTGTTGGCCGTCTATTTCCAGCTCATTCGTAGTTGTTCAGAAGTTGATGCGGTTCGCACTTGTCCGACTAGTTGAGCTTTCTGGGAAGTCCTGAGATCTCTGACGCTCTGTCGCCGGGTTTTGCAGGTGTGTATTGCTGTTGTACATTTGATCTCCTGCGATAACTTGCTATGATATTAGAAAAACCTTGGATGTGGGTGAAGGTTAAAGTAGCATCCTATCTCCTATCCAATCTACTAGTCGGGACCGTATCCACCGAACTTGGGGAGAGCTTGCCGAAATGATTGCCAAGGTGCGCAGTTCTGATGAAACAGTTTCGGAGAAGGCCGCTGTCTGCGGCGTATGGAGGCAATTTTTGGCCACACTTCTGTGTATCGCTCCCTGATGGGGCTCAAGATTTAATAATATAGCCTGTGATCTCACACTGGTCATCGGAATATTTCGCAAGTCACAATCAATGTGGGGTAAATTTGGCTTGTAAAGCCACCATCGCGATCGGTGAGTTAGTATCAAACATAAGGAGGGCAACAATCACTTGTCATGTTTTTTGCTGATCTATGATACTACTATGCGTGTCTCGGCTGTGTTCAGTGGATGCGTTGTTCCGCGCCTGACGGCAGTTCCAGACCCACATCCTCCCTGTGCCGGCTGTTGTTTGGACGGCTTTTTCGCCGTGTTGGTGTGTTGGCGTGACTCGGCGTCGTGCGCCGGTCCACGCTCCACGCCCGTGTTCGCCCGCCGTGACAATGCCTTCTGTGTGACTCACCGTCGACGGAGCGCCGCCGCGCCGCCGCCGTCTCCGTGGCTGACTGGAGGAGCCGATCGGCTGCCCACTGGACCTTGACGCTACCGTTGGAGCTGGAATTCAACTACTGATCGGTCCTACAGCTGGACCCGGGGTCCAACTGTCATTGGTTCCTGTAGCTAGATGTTTATCAACTGCCATCTGTGCCCGCCCCACGGGCCAGTTTCCGCATTGAAACGGACTTCAACATTTGTTGCACGCACCTGTTGCGGCTGTTTTGGAATCCTGCGAAATGGATAGTGCGTAGGATGCTCGTACTCTGAACTCTATGGCCTAACGTTTATGAGACTTGCGTCAATTTTTCAGTAGTAATTATCCGGCAGCCGGATTATGTCAGAAGTTTTTTTTTTTTTGCTCGGCCAGCCTAGCGCCAGTCTCGAGCGGTGGGACAGTTAACCCGGCAATTTTGGCCGGGATGCAAACGTTACGTTAAACCGGTTTATATTGACCCGGGAGCAAATAACAACGTGGGAGCCTATCTATTTTGATTGTTAATTCTATCAGTCTAAAAAGAAAATGAAAGTTGCTCGTATTATGCGCTTTGAAAGGGGACTTACCTACGTAACCGCGTTTTGGCTTTTTGTTTGTTTGCTATATTCGTTTTGGTATGCACAATTCACGTAAGCTCAAGTTTTGTTGCATTATTTGCTTCTGCATTTCGCTGGTATTTATTCCTGGCCGTGTTTTTTCTCGTCTCGTGGCCGCGGTTCGGGGCAGCTGATTGCGCTGCAGACGCGCCGTATGCTCCTCTACTGCCGGCGCGTGACCTGCCTGTGATGCCTTCCTTTTGTGCCGTGATATTGGGGCCGCCGCGGACCGCCACCCCTCCTCCCCGCCGCCTCAGTTCTGCTCGGGCAGCCCGCGAGCGGCCGTCCATGCATTGACAAGAGCGGCGTCGATCGGCCGCGGCCCCGGCGGGTATTGACCTTGCGACCCGGCGACGGTCGCCGCCGCCGCGGCCGTCTTCGTCGGCGTCGGCGCGCGCGGCTGCGCCCGCCATCGACCGTCGTCGGCGACGGCGCGCGCGCTGGGCCGGCGGCGGAGACCATTGCGCCGGAGTCGGCCATGGCGTCTGCGGCGGAGAGCGGGCCGCCGGCGGCGCCCGGCGACCAGTGCAGCGTGTCGATCGCGTCCGGAGCGCTGGAGGCCGACCGAGTGTCGGAGGACGCGTCGGCGGCGTCCGAGCGGCCCCCGGGCGCCTCCGCTGACGCCGATGACGGCCGGCCGGGGTCCGCTGACGGCGATGACGGCCTGGAGGAGGTGGTGCTGACGTCCCCGGCGCGGCGGCCGTCAGCGGTGGTGACGCGCCGCCGGCTGCCGACGCCGCTGCTCTCCTGGAACCTCTGCTGTCACGGCTGGGAGACGCTCTGTCGCTGGTGGTTCGAGGTAAACGTCGCCTGTCACCCGCTGCTGACAGCTGTCACAGTCAGCTATAAACTTGTCCGCTGTCCTACTGTCAGCTAGGCTGTCAGCTGTTGGTGAATGACTGCCCATCTCGACCTTGCTAGCTGCCTGGCTCAAACATGAATTGAGAATCTGGCTTTTCAATACCATGCTATGTTCATAAAAGTAACTGTTCGTAAGTCATTTATAACATATCAGGTGTTCTGTCTCTGCTGTATGGCTTCATAGCTATATTGGGCATGATATACCCACTTTTACCCGTCTATAACGACTGGAAGTTCACGTCTGCGGTTCATTTCAAGAAGCAGCGAAAACGTGCTTTCCCTTCTCGAGTGCATGGTTATCGGTGCGGAAGTGGATTGATATTGTCTGTCATTGAATGTGCTTCAGCTCATGCGCTAACAATGGCCATCCAGATTCCGAGAATGTCCCGTTTATGGCTCCATTGTCCTGAGTTCCGATTTCTGGTTCAGCGAACCCTCTACTCGAGCCGAGCGGGGCTCCCAGGGAGGCTATTTGACGGCCCCGTCAGCTGATTACACCTAGTGAGCGACAGGCCGATTGAACAGAGTGCAGGTGGTGATCGATTCAACGGCTTCTGTCTCCTCACCAGATCCAGCGGGTGCAGACAGATTGGTATTGTCTGGCGCGGCAGATTTACTGGTCTTGTCTGCTGCTGGCGTCCGACGTCTCACTTCTTGACCCTGTTCATTTGCAGTGGTCGGTCCAACGGTGCCGTCTGTTGCTCAGACCGATCATTGGCAATAGCCGATTCAACGTTTCATGCTGCTGGTCAGGCATAGGCTAAAGCAGTGGCTAGTTCACCGTTTCTGCCCTATCACCAGACCTATCCGCAGCCAATAGTCCTGGTGGCCTGGTTTCGACCCTGTCCGGACCGCCGCCGGCTCTCTGAGAACGGCCCGCTCCTGAACTCCCGGAGCTCGGCCCGGACTCCGACTCCCGGAGCCCGGTCCGGACCCGGACTCCCGGAGCTGACAGCCCGGCTGCGGCTCCGCTCCGAGTAGACCGGCTACTCTGGGAACCGTCTCGCCCCATCTGACGGACCGGACACGGCCGGCTGCCGCCCTGTCTGCCGGACCGGACACCGCCGGCTGCCGCCCCGTCTGACGGACCGGACACGGTCTGACGGACCGGACACAGCCAGCTGCCGCCCCGTCTGACGGACCGGACACAGCCAGCTGCCGCCCCGTCTGACGGACAGGACACAGCCGGCTGCCGCCCCGTCTGACGGACAGGACACAGCCGGCTGCCGCCCCGTCTGACGGACAGGACACGGCCGGCTGCCGCCCCGTCTGACGGACAGGACACGGCCGGCTGCCGCCCCATCTGACGGACAGGACACCGCCGGCTGCCGCCCCGTCTGACGGACAGGACACCGCCGGCTGCCGCCCCGTCTGACGGACCGGACACGGCCGGCTGCCGCCCCGTCTGACGGACCGGACACGGCCGGCTGCCGCCCCGTCCGACGGACAGGACACGGCCGGCTGCCGCCCCGTCTGACGGACAGGACACGGCCGGCTGCCGCCCCGTCTGACGGACAGGACACGGCCGGCTGCCGCCCCGTCTGACGGACAGGACACGGCCAGCTGACGGACCGGACACGGCCGGTTGCCGCCCCGTCTGACGGACAGGACACAGCCGGCTGCCGCCCCGTCTGACGGACAGGACACAGCCGGCTGCCGTCCCGTCTGACGGACCGGACACGGCCGGCTGCCGCCCCGTCTGACGGACAGGACACGGCCGGCTGCCGCCCCGTCTGACGGACAGGACACCGCCGGCTGCCGCCCCGTCTGACGGACAGGACACCGCCGGCTGCCGCCCCGTCTGACGGACCGGACACGGCCGGCTGCCGCCCCGTCTGACGGACAGGACACCGCCGGCTGCCGCCCCGTCTGACGGACCGGACACGGCCGGCTGCCGCCCCGTCTGACGGACCGGACACAGCCGGCTGCCGCCCCGTCTGACGGACAGGACACCGCCGGCTGCCGCCCCGTCTGACGGACAGGACACCGCCGGCTGCCGCCCCGTCTGACGGACCGGACACAGCCGGCTGCCGCCCCGTCTGACGGACCGGACACGGCCGGCTGCCGCCCCGTCTGACGGACAGGACACGGCCGGCTGCCGCCCCGTCTGACGGACAGGACACCGCCGGCTGCCGCCCCGTCTGACGGACAGGACACCGCCGGCTGCCGCCCCGTCTGACGGACCGGACACGGCCGGCTGCCGCCCCGTCTGACGGACAGGACACCGCCGGCTGCCGCCCCGTCTGACGGACCGGACACGGCCGGCTGCCGCCCCGTCTGACGGACCGGACACAGCCAGCTGCCGCCCCGTCTGACGGACCGGACACAGCCGGCTGCCGCCCCGTCTGACGGACCGGACACAGCCGGCTGCCGCCCCGTCTGACGGACAGGACACGGCCCGCTGCCGCCGACAGCCTGGCGCCCATCCGCTAATGGTGTTTATCCGGGGATACGGCGGGACGGGGCGGTGGTACGGCACCCGTCTACAGTGAAATGGACGGGTTAACACTGCAGGGTGTGACTGGAGGGCGATAAGTCCGGTCAGCAGGGATCACTGAGGACTGACTAGAGAAGCGCGTGCAGTGGAAGCGTGTGTGAGGCGAATAGAGGTAACTCGATATTTGACTGAGCTGGCGAAAAAGGCTGTGGCTGATCCGGCCGGTTGCAATGTATTGGAGGTCAGAACTGGTAATGGGTGCAAGCTGAAGACCCGACACCGGACACTGCGCTAAATAGAAAGACGGACAGGAGGACTCCGATAGCCGCGTGTTCATCCGATGCTGGTCCGACCGACCGGCCCTGATTGGACCCACCTCTGGGGACGGAAATGAAGGCTATTATCAGAGCCCCTTACTCAATGCCCATTACTGGCGCGGCCGGCACGGAATCCTATTCTCGACGGCGGCCGTGTCTGTCGCAGCGTCTGTGGACTGTGTCCCGCGGCCGCCGCCGTGTCTGTCGCAGAGTCTGGGGATGGTTCCCACGGCCGCCGCCGAGTCTGGGGATGGTTCCCACGCCCGCCGCCGTGTCTGTCGCAGAGTCTGGGGATGGTTCCCACGGCCGCCGCCGAGTCTGGGGATGGTTCCCACGCCCGCCGCCGTGTCTGTCGCAGAGTCTGGGGATGGTTCCCACGGCCGCCGCCGAGTCTGGGGATGGTTCCCACGCCCGCCGCCGTGTCTGTCGCAGAGTCTGGGGATGGTTCCCGCGGCCGCCGCCGTGTCTGGGGGCTGTGTCCCACGGCCGCTGACTGACACCGTTTCCGGTTATCACACAGCCGGGGATTCGAAATCAAATGAAGCCTTGTGGTGGTGAATTTGTAATTCTGGGAGTTATCCGTCCTGGACGGTCTCGCGTGCCTTGCTGGCGTGTCCGTCGTGGTGACATTGTGATGGGATGCACCTGACATCATTGCAGTGTCGACCGCGTTATAGCTTATATGACTATGTGCCGACCTAATGGTTACCCGCTCTTAGCTAGGTATTCAATGTCCATGACTATGCGCTACTCATCTGACACTTTGTGCATATGCAGCACATTTTATTTCATAAGACATATGCCAGTGTTCTTGAGTCCGTACGTACATCATCATTGCCCCGCTTTGACTCGCCCAAGTTGCATCATGCTGCGGTCTGACCTGCTTCTGGGCCATATTGCTCTGTCTCAGAGTCAGAACTTATGGAGAGTGATGATCCTGGTATGTCATCACCGTATTGCCCTTCTCGTTCCTCCACCTCCCCAATCCTCCCAGGCTCTCTCAGTCGAGAACATTGCGCGGCTGCCGCGGCTGCCTTGACAATACCCGACTGTTGTCTGACTGTGGTCCCCATCTCTCCTGCAGAGTTCGGGCATCGGCGAGCCGAGCGTCTACCATGCGCTGGTGGTCATCTTCCTCGAGTTTTTCGCCTGGGGCCTGCTGACCACGCCGATGATCACAGTGAGTGTAGCGACGGAGCGGACTGCTTGTCGCAGCGTTGTGCTCAGTGGCTATGTTGCCAGTACGGTCAGTGGGTGGGCCTAGGATCTCCGCCCGCGGTTACTAGGCGGCGGAGATGGGCCCCAGTCCCGGTCTCGGGGGATGCTCCCGGTCATAGTTCCGCCCCTCCCTCCCCCTAGAGTTGGGACGGTGAACGGTTCAGCCTGCCGCGCGTGGTTCCGTTCAGCGGTCCTCAGCTGTCGATCTGCCCCTGGGCCGTAAGTTCTGCGGCTGGGCTCCGTCGGCCCGGCTGCCGGAGCTGTGATCGGTCACCGACCGCGCGTCCAGGGAGCTGACTGATGAGTTTGTCTCGATTGGAGCGAGCGCCGCCGGCGTGCGTCCAACTTTGGATGCAGTGTTCCATTTTTGGAAATTTTGGGTGGAAAATCACACCTAATGGGTAAAATATTCTCATCCCCAAAACCAGGTAAATTGGAATTCTTTCATCTTTGAAAAATGCTCAACTCATGCTCAACAATTAACAGCCAGATTACCAGATATACCTAGCAGCGCCATATATACAGTTAGAACTTATAGGTTTGCTACATAATACATAATTTCCATGAAAAAAAGCGAAATCAAGGCACAAACCCAACAACTCACCCTGACTGACAACGAAAGAAAATAACCTTGCACACTTCCAGCTGTTAATAACATATATGCGTTGAATGACCTTGATCACCTCAACTGTTTGTAAAAACCAGGCTTGTGTTCTGAATAAATGCTTTTGGATATTCATAACAACTATGATTAGTGGTTTGCTGCCAACGCAAAACGGATGAGCCGCTGCTTGCGCAAATTAAACACTACCTCTGCAATTCGCTTTTGACTAAGTTGCGCAGGATACGCCTACAAAATTTTCATCTTTGGACCCGCAGTCAGCTGGGCACACCCTAGCACACCCTAGGGATGAATTTAAAACTTGGTGGGCTCTAACTTCTTTCATATGCAAAATAGGGGTATGAGACAGGTACCAACTTATTCTACATTCATTTCTGATCCTATTGTATCAATTTCACCACAAATTATGTCCGTCAATGGCTTCTAGAGGACTTTAAAGCTCGATGCGTCGGGCCTGGCAGAGGTCCAAGATGAGAAAAGCCACCCTGCGCACACCCTAGGGATGAATTTAAAACTCCGCGGGCTCTGGCTGGTTTCATAGGTAAAATAATGTTTTGAGACCGATGCCAATTTATTCTGCGCTTATTTCTGATCCTATCGCATTAATTTCGCCACAAATTATGTCCGTCAATGGCTTCTAGAGGACTTTAAAGCTCGAGGCGTCGCGCCTGGTAGAGGTCCAAGATGAGAAAAGCCAGCCTGGGCACACCCTAGGGATGAATTTAAAACTCCGCGGGCTCTGGCTGGTTTCATAGGCAAAATAATGTTTTGAGACCGATACTAATTTATTCTGCGTTCTTTTCTGATCATATTATATCAATTTCACCACAAATTATTTACGTTATTAGTTTTTAGATGTCTTTAAAACTCGAGGCGTCGGGTCGGGCAGGGGTTCAAGATGACTGACACGCCACCCTGGCACACCCTAGGGATGAATATGAAACTCTGTGGACTCCGGCAGGTTTCATACGCGAAATGAGGTTATAAGACCGGTAATGATGTATTTTACGTTAATTTCTCATGCCTTTGCAATAATCTTACCGCCAATTATTCATTTCAATTAGTTTCTAAAGGTTTTTAAACACGAAGCGTTCGGCCGAGGGAAAGCCAAGATGAATGAAAGGATACCTTGGCACACCTCTAGGGATAAATTTAAGATACGGTATTCCCAGATCTGCCCAATACATGTTCTGAAGCTGGTAGATGGGATTAAGAAGGCCCTAGCTTTTTAATAAATTATCCCTCGCCCGTATAGGGGGGGGGGTCGAACGAACCACCTTCTCGTTTTTTCGAGAATAACTCGCGTAAAAAGCGGCCGATCGCGACGAAACTTTCAGGACCCTCGAGTCAATTAATTTGACACCTACTCTGAAAATCTCATATTCCTGACCCAAATGACCTTTGACCTGTGACCTATTTCTTGAGGCCATGTTTGGCCGGAATCGCGATTCGGCGAGCCGCTAATGCGTTCCGTTCACTCCCGTTCCGTTTCGGGTGTTCTGGTCAGTTGTGCTCTCGCTTTCCCTTCCGCTTGGGGTGTCCTGATCAGCGATGCCCTCCGTTCCGTTGCAGTTGCTCTGATCAGTGATCACTGATGCCCTCCGTTCTGTTGCGGGTGCTCTGATCACTGATCACTGATCATTGACGCTCTCACTCAGCACTTATCACGTGACATGATACGAAGCTACCGCTCCGTTTCGGTGGCCGGCCATGAGGTCGGTGGCATCCTTTTATCATTTTTTTTTTTGCATCCCGTTCCGTTCCGATATGGATGCCCTGGTTACTGGTTAGTTGCACGCTTTTTATTGCGATATTGCGTATTATGCTGCGCAGTGCACATCGTTCCGTTTGGGGTGCCCCAATCAGTGACCCTTTGTCTAGTCTCATGTAGTGCACCGTTCCTTTCGAAGAGTTGCGCTGACACCGTTTCCATTTTCACTATCGTAATGAGTACCGACTATCGCTGGCCGTTCCGGCGTTCGGGCCGGGAGATTTCCGGTGTATGTCATGCTGCATAGTGCGACTGCAATTGCATACTCAATACTGCGTCCCGTTCCGTGTGCCCAGAGCAAAGGCACCATTTCCAGTATCATCCGGCCATTGTCATATCTGTTGAAAATGGAAAGCTCAAAGCTATACTGCGTACACTGTACGAATATTACCAGATCAGATGCGAACGAAAACTACATACTTATATTGCCGCATATTATCTCAAATATACAGTAATCTTGGAAGCGGTGCTGCCATATTGTAGGCGCAAAACGTCCCAGAGGCCAGAACACATGGTTATACGGTTTCTGGTTTCATAGCGATCAGTTACGTCAACAAACTGCCCATCAGGGTTAAGGGAATCATGATTACCTAAGATTTTATGTCTGACAGTGTCACAGTGATGACCACGCCTCACGCATTACACACTTACATACAAATACACAGTCTGAGTCAACTCCACTTAATCAATAATACAGGACGACAGAATGATACCCTTTGCAACGGCAACGACAGGTTCCTTCCCACTTCCTTTGCTTAAAAAAGAAAGAAAACTTCTCCACATGGCACTAGTACCAAAGCCTACACATAGAGAGATCTCCCTCACCCGCCCCTCCCCCACCCTCCTTAAGATATGACAACAGATTTCAACAGAATCATTGCATCTTCTGCTTCTTAAAGACCTAGTTCGCTCGCATGATGGCGACTGGCGTCGCGAGGATGGAGGTCCGCGGATGAACTTTAGGAGAAATATACAGGCAGAACTCAGAAGGACCGTCCTGGATGCGTGCCAGTAAGCATGAGTAGGAACTTAGCAGATGCTGACGGTAAGATCTGCTGTCTGCATCTGAAACGGAAAGGAAGGTATTGATTTAAGGCAAGGAGAAGGATGGCCACTGGACAGTCATTCAATTGTGACAATGCATTTTGACTTGTGAGGAAAATGAAATCTCACTGGTTGAAGTAGGTATTCATTCTTAGCTGTATAAGAGACAAGGGTGATTCTTAACTTCATTAGTCTCAATCAAACACAAAGGTTGGGATAAAATGGGACGGATTTCGAAACACTTGGCGATCAGATGCTAGTTATAATTCTGCCGTATATCATCCTTACCTATTTGCATCGTCTTTTTCGGTTAGTTTTGGTGGTCAGGAATGGTATGTTCTTTTATTATCAGCCAGCGTAGCGTTACGCCTTTATTGCGAAAGTGATATAGGTTTTCACTTGTTTTTTTTTTCTCATCCTAGATTTTTTGGTCATCATCGTCACACCCAACCAAAATCCAATTTTAGAACACTGGGGCAGAGTTGGAGGCTGTGATCGACCGCGGAGCGCGGCCCGGGGCGCCGGCCAGGGAATGGTCCCCGGTGGGGGTCCGGGGGTACCTCAGTCGGACTGGGGCCTGGTGGGGGCGCCGGCCGGGGGATGGTCCCGATGGGGGTCCGGGGGCACCCCAGTCGGACTGGGGCCTGGTGGGGGTACCGACGGGTGGATGGTCCCCGGTGGGGGTCCGGGGGTACCTCAGTAGGACTGGGTACTGGTGGGGACTCGGGGCTACGTCAGTGGTTCTGAGGACGGCTGCGGTACCCCGTGACGGGACGCGACGATCCGGCTGGGGTGGTCTGAGTTTATGGTTAGTCTGAGCTCGTAAATTGCATGAACGGAATATGCGAGTCAGGTGTTCTATATGTGTGCCGCTAATCTCATGTTGGTTTGCCTAAATTTCATTGTTACACTTTTATAAACACTATATTTCTATTTCTGTTCAGTATGGAGTACTTAATATAACGGTACTTTGTAACAATTAATGTAGCAATGCTGTGAAATTATGTCCGGCTGAACTTCGGATATGCATTATGTACGAAGACTTAATGTGTATATGTAATTGCTGGAGTTTAGGTCATCACTGATAACATTTTCAGAGTTTGACAATCTTCTTCGTTGTTTCAGGTGCTGAATGAAACTTTTCCGAACCACACATTTCTCATGAATGGCCTTATCGTAGGAATAAAGGTCAGTACGGGGTCGCCTGTCGCCGCCCAATATGTGTTACGTGAACTGCTGCCGGCTGCTTAACCCGCGCCCTGATGGGGGGGCCATTTTGCCCCCCCCCCCTGTGGTTTTTCTTAAATAGCGAGAAAACGGCGGCGCCAAATTTTGGGTACCTTACCGGGCATCAATTTGACACCTTCACACAAAATTTCAAGTCACAGGTCACCTCAGGTCAGGAGTTATTGAGGTCAAACTGAGGTCATGTTCGAGCAAAAATGAGCAAAAAACATGACATCTTGAAACGCTCACCAATTCTACAGTTAACAAGCAATTTTAAAGTTCTTTATGTGGTTGTGTAGAGAAAAGACGGCGCTACAAAACTGCCATCTCGGATTTTCGAAATTTTGGGATTTTGACCCCCAAAAATCAAAAAAATTGATTTTTTTAGAAAAACTCAAAAAATTTCCAAAAATTTTTCGAATTTCGAAAAAAAACCGGAATATATGTGATAGTCCCTGCGCTCTTCGATATACATACCAAATTTTAGATCGATACCTCTTTTTTTGGCCAAGTTATAGGGAAAAAACTGTTAAAAATTGATGACGTCAAATTTTTGAACTCAATTTTTAGCAGTTCTAGACCTCGTAGCGCAAAACGGAGACCACCATTGAACTCCCCGTGACGAGCTGCATCGAATCGATACCCATTTTATGCAAAAATATCAACTTTGAAATTTGACCTAATTTGACCTGACCTTGACCTGACCTTGACCAAAACGTGACCTAAGCTGGCCCTAAAGTCTGTCTGACCCACATAATCGCATTTGTCATGTAAAATGGACCATAAAACATGTATCACACGACACTTTCATATTGTGACCCCCCCCCCCCCCCCCAGTGACCTGACCTCTGTGACCTGACCTGGTATCAGTGACCTCAAATAGCAAAATATGTGTTTGAAGAACATTTCTCCATCGATGATTTTCAATGAAATGCATTTTACTCGATTTTACAACGCATTTCTTGAAATGCCTGTAAACGGTGAAAATTCGACCTTTGACCTGACCTGTGACGTCATCGGTTTGACCGAGGTCAATGAAATTGGGTCACAAGGTAGTTCCCCGCTGGGGCTATCCAACACCGTTTACCGCTTGTCGCTATGTTGCGTGGTTCTCGAGATCTGATGGGGGGGCCAAAATGCCCCCTCCCCCATCAGACCGCGTTGCTCGGCAGACCCCATCTGGGCGCGGGTTAATCTACCAAATGTATGCAACACTCGACGACACAACTCGTTCGTAGGTCAAATAATGCCGCCGTCATTTAGTACATGTGAAGTGCTCCACATGTAACCATTCCATTCAAGCCTGGTCGCGACCACTGCCTGTTGAATGTCTGCTGCAGGTATTCAATGATTAATGTCACAATTAAGTTGCGGTCCCGCTGGGCTCTTCAGGGCGCCGCTGCGTGCTGCACGTTAATGTGTAGGTGAATGTCCGATGTGTGCGCGCTCAGAGTGCGGACGGCTCACGGCGACAGCCGCATAACTCGAACCGTGGCCCACCTGGCGGGGCGGGCGGGCAGTACCCGTTCAGCGCCGCCGAAAACGAACACTTGGTGTGTGGAATGCAGACCACGTGGTGTCAACAGGTGCTGTGTGGTTTCTACCATACACAGCTGATACTGCCGACTGAGCGCGTCTGAGTGTGACACTTGGCGGCTCTTTTCCTCGTGATAATAACCCGTCTGCCTCAAATAGCCGTTACACCTTGACAACCGCACTGCCTGACATTTCCAAATGGGGTCATTGGCGGCTAAGTTCCATCGCTCAGGGTGCGTCATAGCCGACAAAAAACGGTCTTTGGTAGCAGACGGTCCGTCGTCGACATGAGCATGACGGATTCTCCGGAGGGTAATAAGGCTCTCTCTCGGCGGCGCGCTTCCGACGGCCGTGACATTTATCTCCATCAGGGAGGTGCGTCACGGGCCGGCCTTGACCGGCATCCCTGACACGACCGTGAGGCGCGCGCGTGCGACCCAGTTGGTCCAATTGAGGCCGTCCGTCGACGCCGACGGGGGCTGTCCGCTTCGACGGACCGGCCGCCCCGGCGCCCCGCGCGTGCCGGCTCTATTGATTGGTGCGCACCTAGCCGGTCCGCCAAGGTCGCGCCGCAGCCGGGATGGACGCTCCTGACGCTCCTGATGCTCCCGGTACTCTCTGCTCCGTCCCCTCTCCCTGTGCTCCCTGCTCCGGACTCGCCCCCGGAGCTCCGTACCCGCTCCCGGAGCTCGGGACCCGCTCCCGGAGCTCCGTACTCGCTCCCGGAGCTCGGGACCCGCTCCCGGAGCTCCGTACTCGCTCCCGGCGCTCGGACCCACTCCCGGAGCTCCGGACCCGCTCCCGGAGCTCGGGCCGCTGTCCCCTCCGGCTGTGCGCCGCGGGCGGTCAGGCCGGGCTGAGTGAGAACCTGTCAGCTGCGGCTGCCGCGGCCAGGCCACCAGTTTAGCCGCGGTGATGGCCTTATGTAACTCGCGGATTCGAACAGGCCTCGGAAAGTTGTGGCGAGTTTTCCTTCCCTACTTTGTTTCTTCTTGAGCAGAACTCACCTTAACTGAAGTTCTGTATACGAATTCATATTTTTAGCTAACCGGGCATCCGTAATTTATCATCATGGAACGTCTCGAATAGGCTAACGTTGATGGCTGAGGTATCTTTTGGGCTACATCCCAAATCTAAGACAAGCACCCCTGGCCCTTCTCTGCCGTAGCAGAGGGAGCTCCTGCAATCGGTCTGGTCGCAGCGAGTGACATCAGACTTTACTGCTCCCCTGTGCCTCATCGAGCTATCCATCTCCAATCGGCCCGACCGGGAGAGCAGGCCGTCGCTCTCCTTAGAGGGATCCAGGTCGTAGTTTCAGTCCTCTGAACCAGTTAGACTTCTGGCCAATCTCTGCATTTGACGACAACGATGGTCTGGTGGCCACATTCAAACCCGTGCTTCCCTGCTCAGCGTTCCTTAGACAGCGGTTTGCAGTTCCCGATTGAAAGTGGCAGATGGCAATTACCAGAGATCGAATAGCGAGGCTCGCGTGCTACTCACTAGTTGAGGGCTCTCGGCCGGCACTGGGTGATTATCTCGAGCGGCCGACGGCGCGTCTGTTCAAAACAGGTGCGACCAGGTGTAATCAGGTGCGATTGTCTCCTGTCGCAGCGGCCTGCTCAGCTATGCCGTCCATTAATAGCCGAGTGGCCCGCGGAATTGGCTTTACGTAATGTCGCGAGTGCGATCAATGCAGGGCTGGGAGCCGCTGGATGGAAGTCCAGCGTTTGTCGCTTAGCCTGGAGGTGGGAAGGGGGGAGGGGCTGTTGTTGCTGGGTCGGTAGTTTTTGGTGCAGAGACCGAATCAATTCTGGTTTCGGTATGTGTCCTTGGTTGTAGATATGTCAGATTTTGTGATTCTATGCGATACAAACGTTATGGCTTTAAGTCAACAAAACGACCATATAATAGGATCTCATTATGACGGATATCGAGTGAGTTTATGTCTATTTTTGATGTGGAGGCACAAATGAATACGGGTAAACAAGTTTCTGAAACTGTTTAGCTATAATTTGAATGGTTAATTGAACTTTACTTTCGCTAGTTTTCCTAAGAAAGGCAGGCTTGGCACTTAAGGAACTCCCACTAATCACTTTCGAACTTCACAAACTTCTTAGACTACTCCACAATGTGTATCCGGCTAAGCACTCAAAACAAGGCGTAACATGGAAGGACCTGGCATTCGGCTTTGCTTTCGGTGCTGCACTTCAGATATGCTGCAACATTTCGAGATTGGTTGCATCATGTGTTCTTTCGCTTTCATTTTAATTCGTTATTTCCGCTGTTCATTACTTTGGGAGAGTTTCCGAGCTGAGCTGCCTGCTCTCTCTCTCTTACGTGCGTCAGAAGCTAAATTAGACGGAACACTTGAAACTGAAGTACCTGGTGCGACGCACAGCCACTACGGGAGACCGGTGCTGGTAGATTCCTCCGTCTGACATTGGGTAGATGTCGGCACCGGTACGGCTTAACAATTTAACGTTACGTTACAATATAGCAGTAACCAGCCTCCCTTCCCTCCCCTCCCCAATGTCCCGTTTGTGCAGTTTCACGACCCTGATCAGCGTCCAGCTCACGTCCTGTCTCCGCTCCAACTTGTGACGCGGGTTAATCCGGGTCTGATCGCCCTAATCTCATTTGGTCCGTCCTGATCGCTACCGCTCCGTGCCATCGACCGCGGCCGTCTCCAACCGTGACAGTCTTGGTCGATGGGGATGGTCGATAGTGATGCGGGTGACCACTGCGGTAGCTCCATTCCTAACGCGTCATCCGCCGTCCAGCACGCCCACTGAATCCATTCCCTGCCCGGTGCGGTTCCACTCCTAACGATCGATCGGTAAATGTTACGCCACTCTGCCGCCGCCGTCTTGTACCGCCTGATCTCGTGACCTGTCGTGAGGTCACGGTGACACGGCGGCCTCCTAAGTCCCGGACACGAGTGGCGCCGCTCGGACGCCCCAGGGACGTGCCTGGCCTCCGGGCCGACTAAATCGGGCCGTATGTGGGCCGTGTTGACTGGGAGCGACCCGGCTCTGTCAGGGATCGATGCGGCGCCGAGAGGGTGGCCGCTGAGACGCGGGGTGGCCGTGAAGGCCAGATGCAGGGGCGGTGCGTGGTTCAACCGACGCATAGGGAGGTGGGAAGAGTGTGTCGAGAGCTGGGGGAGGGAGATTTGGGGATTGTTTGTTATGCAGGAAAGAGGTGAGGGTCAGGTGTTCTACTCAGCCACAATGTTAGGGCTCTGTAGGGAAATGGTGCCTCCGCAATTTGGATGGTGGCCGTCTCTTGAGTTGCCGAATATGCCGAATTTTTCTTCCAACGCATATCTGGGTAGCAATGTCTTTTTTCGGACTCCTCGTCACTGTCTTCAGGTAGTTGCTGAGCTCCGACTGTCAACCTCTGCTGTTAAGCACCACCTTTCCCACGGAAAGGGGTATTGACCCTTCTTCCACTGTCCACCGACCTCCCGGCGGCGGTCGGCCAGCACAACGGCCGTGGTCTCAGCTCCATTCGTTATGCGTCGGGCCGGCAGCGGCGGCGGCCGCTCGCGCCGCTCCGTGCATTTATCAGCTGCTGTTGGCCGTGGCCGTCCCATGGTGACTAATGAGAGCGGATCTGCGCGGCGGAGACGCAGGAAGGAAGCCGTGGACGTGTTGAGGGTAGCGAGCAGGAGCGGGACTGTTGTGAGCGGCTCAGGTGCTGGGAACTAGGGGAGACGAGTGTAGGGGATAGGCCATGTTGTCAAAAACATGCCAGCTCGATTTATTTAACCCGCGCCGGGCCGGGGGGTGTTTGAACACCCCCCTTGCGGTTTTTCGCAGATATCTCAAAAACGGCGGCGCGGAGCGCCGCCGTTTTTGGCACACCTGTTCGTACATCTTTTCCGGACATGTTGTGAAAATTTCAGACCCAGGTCACCTTAGGTCAGGTCACCAGGTCACGCCAAGTGACCTCACCTCAGAAAAAATAAGAATGCTCGTCATAGCTACACCGACTGAACGATTGCCTTGAAACTTTCAGCGATTGATAAGAGCAACACTATCTATAAAATGTATATCTCGGAATTTTGATATCGGTGACCTAAGGTCAGGTCAATTTTGCGGCCTCTCCATTATAAGTCAATGAGAGAAAATTGAAAAGCGTCTGTTTTGCACGAACGCTATTCTAGACACTCTCAAACATCGAGACGTAGGTAAAATAGACACACTGAACCAGAAAATGGCAACTGTGACCCCTCGTTATGTCCCCGAGGTCATCTCAGGTCACGAACAGAATCTTAACAGTTTTTCGATGATAACTTCTGATAGAGGCGTGCTAGAGCGCTGAAAACGCCTTATATCTGTTCGGCTCGACGTTGCGGATCGACTGATATGCAACATGACCTTTTCCGGTCAGGTCATGACCTTGACCTGAGGTCAAATTTTCAAATTGACCTTTCAAGGTTAAATTATAGTTCATTCGACGCGTCTCGACGAGAGGAACACGATGCTGGCAAAAGTAACGTCATAGCTCTTTTGAGTCAAAAGTTATTGCCGAAAAAACGTTTTTCGTAAAAACGGCTTTTTTTGGAGTTTTTGCCCTCTGGAGGCTAAACCGTTGACCTGAGGTCAAATCTGAGAACATTACTCAGAAAGGTCTGTAAAAGGGCTATCGAATGCGCTTTTTTGCGGCGCTGTAACTCTATCGGTTCCCGAGATAGCCGTTGGCAGTTTCCAAAATGTTGAAATAGTCAACATTTTACCTTTGGTGACCTCTGGTGACCTGACCTTTGACCTGACCCAAAAAATGACCGAAGTGTTTTCGTCCTTATTTGTGACGTTCTTTCGATTGCCGCTTACAGCGTGTCGCTACGTGGCCCAGGAGCCGAGTTAGAAGGGGGGGGTGTTCAAACACCCCCCCGCGGCCCGGCGCGGAATCTCAGAGCACCGGCCCGGCGCGGGTTAAAGTAAAACCTTGTAGCGACGTTGTAAGTGTATTTGAATCCTTTTCTGGCTAAACCGTTGTTTGTATTGGGCGTATCCTGCTAAAAATATTATAGTTTCCTTTATTATCTCTTCATTGAGATGTTTCCAGTGTTCAGCGATCATGCTCGCTAGTCTTCTCCGATTCGCTCATTACTTACCGTTCTCGCCGTCTGCCGGTGCGACGCCGATATCCATTTCGCTAATGTTTCCGAGTTCCGAGATCTCAGTCGTCACAGTCCTATACATATATTTCCCCGCACGCTATGTTTCGCCATCAGGCGGTGCCGGTGCCGATATCCGTGTCCCCATCAGTGTCTGTACCATTTCCAGCATCCTTCCCCGATCTCTGTGGCTCGGATTGGCCCCGTTGTGCGCCACTGCTCGGACCGGAGCGGCCCCTCAGTGGCCTCGTCTCGACACTGGCCGTCGTTTGCCGCCTCTCGGGGCGGCGCGGCGACACCCACAATTGGCGTCGTTGTGCCGAACCGCGACGGTGGCTGCGGGAGGAGCGGTCCTCGGTCCTGTGGTCGGCTCCGGTGTCGGAATTGTCGGTACAAGTGGACACGGAACACTGATAGCGGTCATCTGGAGATAGGTATTACTCATAGTTCTGGCCTCTACTTCAGAGTTCTGCGTCCTGAAGGAACTTGTGATAGGGCACAATGGATATTCAGACTTGGCGCCATACTGCTTCGAAGGAAATATTTTTCCACAACAGAATCTGTACATTTCTGGCACACAGTGTAGCGGGGTCTGGACGCCTGGACTGGGTGTCGCCCTGCCCGCCGGCGGCTGCTCGGTGACCTGCCGTTGCCACGTGTCGCCGGTGCGGTATTTCGGTCCGTCCGGTAATAACGCCCGGTCCCGCACGCAGACTATTTTTTGCCCCGGTCCCGCACACAGACTGCTCCTCGCCGCCGCCACCTGTCGTCTCTCATGTCCGCTATAACTGGAGTGAGCACTGGCGGCGCCGGTCAGAACACATAGCCCACAGTTCCCGCTCATGTGTCATACCCGGTAGCCGGGTGGTGATGGTCGCGCTGAGGGATGTTATGTTTCGGCTCATATGCTGGGCTCGGCTGTTGCTTGGACTGCTCCGTCCGTGTATTGGTCCTTCCCGAACCGTGGCCACTCTGCAGACATACCAGTGATGTCTTCTATGCTTCGGTCCGGTCGGCTCTGTCTATTGTCGCGGCAATAAGAGCGTCCTGCAATTGCATATTGCACAATGCCGAACCTCCGTCTCTCCATATCTTTGATACGAAGTGTTTGATATGAAACGTAGCCTGTACAACTTTGTTCTCTTTTTAGTTATTTTCAGTGGCCTGCTGACTTGTTCTGTAAACGCGCGTCATTCAGTCTTCTGACTGTGACATTTGTCCCAAGTCCCAAAGTTCCCTTCCAGCTTCTGTCGCCACACGGCGGGTTCGGGTGTAGCAACGCCCGTAGCAACGCCCCGCCGTGTAGTCCGGGCGCCCAAAAACCCCAATTCATCATCACCATCATCCAGGTTCCTTTGTCGATCCCCCTAGTAACGTCCCTCTATTCCGCAGGGCCTCCTGTCGTTCCCGCTGGTAACATCTCGCTGTGCCCCGCAGGGTCTGCTGTCGTTCCTCTCTGCGCCGCTGCTGGGCGCGCTCAGTGACGTCTGGGGCCGCAAGGTGTTCCTGCTGGTCACAGTGTTCTTCACGTGCGCCCCCATCCCGCTGATGCGGCTCAACACGTGGTACGTACCGGCGCGGCCGGGGAGGAGACGCCTCGGGACGGAGCTGAGAGGGCGGGTGTGGATAGAGGGGACGCGGCTGTCGCACTGTATAAACACCGAGCGGCTGCTGCTGTGTGCCGCTGCATTAGGAAAATAAACCACCGGTTAGATGTCTGTGTCGCGAGGGTGTCATGTCAGTTGCAATGATATGATCTAATCATTTTTGCTCTCGCCAATGGAATTGATTTTGGTGGCATCTTGTGGCGGAAGGTATTAGTTATCCGAGATTCATTGTGTGTAAAGTAGATAGGTACTAGAAAAGCTTGACGGATACCAGTTGTCGTTTATCGATTTGTCCGCATTTTTTTCTTCGCACGACAGAGAAAGGCTTGAAAAGAAGCAGCGCATGGGAATCTACATGATCATCGTGTGTCCCCCCCCCCCTTCCTGAGCTGCCCGGTGACTGACGTCTGACGCTCCCTCCACAGGTGGTACTTTGCCACCATCAGTATATCGGGCGTGTTCGCCGTCACCTTCTCCGTAGTGTTCGCGTACGTGGCGGACGTCACAGAGGAGGCTGAACGCTCGGCCGCCTACGGACTGGTACGTATCGGGGCACTGGCATCAGTGGGGTAGTCAGTAGTCAGCAGTCATAGTTACAGAGGAGGCTGACCGCTCGGCCGCCTACGGACTGGGACGTATTGGGGCACTGGCATCAGTCGGACTGTAGTCAGAAGGGTAGTCAGCGGCCGACCTATAAAGGTCGCCCCACACTGGACCTCGCATGCGGGTTGCGTGTCTGCGGGTTACGGGTTTGCGAATATCACACTCATACATAGAGTGAGAACACCATTCCCATTAGAGGTGGCAAAAGATGAAAATTTTGGGAACCAGACTCGAACCAGACCCGGCTGGACATTTCTGGAACCAGTCGGACCCGGTCTTAGTTGGAATCGGAACCATTTGGACCCGTTCCCCGAAAGTCAATTAATGCAAACTAGGTGTCATTAGTTGCATCATGTAAAACAGCCTATTTCCCACTGGGAATACTCATGAGCTACTGTGTGCAAAGAAACATTCTCTTCATTTACTTCATATTTTGCAATAATTTGCAGTGTGCAAGATGTATAGTTTATGGTAGGACCCGGTTGGACCCGTCATCAAATGTCTAGGAACCGGTCTGGACCCATATGGGTCCAGACTGGTTCTTTGGACCGGGTCCTCGGGTCCACATTTTGCCACCTCTAATTCCCATATACTCACTCCATGAATGTCGTGAAGCCGATGCACCTTCAGAAAATCATGTATTATCTCAATAACAGCACAACGAACCAACACCCTGAACCGACATCAACAAAACACATCAAAACTCGCAGCCCTCGCAGCGAGGAAAACCGAAAGTTGACTCAAAGTCAACTTTTGGAATGCGATGCGAGGTCGCCCGCAAGTCAAAAGCCCGCAGACTCCCTCGCTAGATGGCAGTTTGGGACTTGGGTTACTAAACGTAGAGTGTATTCCCTAACTTTGAAGAAACCCGCTAAACCACAAACTCGCAACCCGCATGCGAGGTCCAGTGTGGGTCGTCCTCTCTTCTCACAATGGTATGCTCTTCTTGTGAATATGCTCCTTTTTTGTCCAGCTTTTTGTTTGATTTTTCCTTCATCTTTGCCTAGCAACCTGACCTTGTTAGCTAGCGCCTGTCGTCTGGGCTGATTAAATACCGGCGAAAGGCAAGGTGATTTGGGAAGACGCAGCTGTTGCTCTGCCTTGTTGCTAGGTGCGCTTTTAGATCGCAAATGGTGTCTTGTAGCACGACACGAGCGGCAGGCAAAGAGCGCCGCTGGGTGAGAGAGGGCCCGATTGGCCATCCGGTAGCGGAACCGTCCTCTCGCTCCGGCCGGCGATGGGGCTCTCTGCTCCGTCCGGCGGCGGCGGAGCCCTCCTCTCGCTCCGGCCGGCCATAGAGCTCTCTTCTCCGTCCGGCGGCGGCGGAGCCCCCCCCCCCTCTCGCTCCGGCCGTTCGTCCGTCTGGGCGGCCGGATTTGGCCATCCCCCCCTCTATCCGGACCATTGTTTGTAGGGCGGCTCGCCGCTCCGCCGACACTCAGTGGCCACTCTCGGCCCTGAAGCTCGCCGCCGCCGAGCTTCTCGGTCGTCCGAACACGGGGCTACGACCGGCTGTTAAACGGCGCCCGCCCGCATCGCCCGCTCGATCTCGGATGGAGCCGGGTGGAACCGGGTGGGGAGGGAGGCGTGGGCTGGGTAGGGGTGGGTCTCCGGCGAGGTGGGGGCTCTAGTTGGGCTGACTGTAGGTTTATATGTTGCTAGCTGCGATAGTGGGAAGATCAGTCGAGTGCTCTGAGAGCTAAGATGTAAAAATAAATCCCATGATTTGCTCGACCCAGATACACCTACCGACCACCGCTGATTATGGTTTTCTGGTGTTCTGGATATATTCCTACCGTGGCGCTGGCCGCCGCCGTGCGTCTGACAGTGCTCCGTCTCAGACGCCGTGCTCCGTCATCACAGCGGCAGCTGATCGATGGTGCTGCTGGCTGGCAGACCGTGCCGGGATCGGGTTCCTCGGCCAACATGGCGCTGTCGACAGGACCTGTCCTGTCGCTGGGCATTGCTCTCAACGGCTGCCATACCATATGACGACGGCTGTCCCACCAACCGGACCCGTCCTGTCTCTGGGGAGCGCTCTCACCGGCCGCTATCCCGCCCAGGCTCCCTCAGCCCTGTCCCTCCCACTGGTGGCTGTCCCCTGCTGTCCCACCCGAGCTCCCTCAGCCCTGTCCCTCCCACTGGCGGCTGTCCCACCCGGGCTCCATCAGCCCTGTCCCTCCCACCGGCGGCTGCCCCATGCTGTCCCACCCTGGCTGTCTGGGTCCCCGCTGCAGTAGCCCCGCTCCTCTCTTCTTGCTGGCCACTGCTGTACATACATGCCGTCCCACAGGCCACAACACGCCGCATCCGGGCCACTGGTGTCCCTACCGTCCCGTTCTGTGGTATATCGTTAATGCTCGGTGTTTACTTTACAGCACAATCTCGCTCCTTTCCCATTTTATTTCCTCTCTCAATGTGACTGATTCTGTGCGCCCCACTTCCATTCTCACTCACTCCTTGTATTTCTTGATTATCGCTTTTAGCATGCTTCCCTATTTTTCTTCCCTATTTTTCAACGAATTGTAGGACACTTGGAGCCATCAATTCCGTTTAATGTTCAGTTTGCTTAATAGGTAGGGGAGAGTGGGGAAAGATGCCCAGGGTTTTACTATGTCATATATTATTCGAAAATGACGATCGGAAAGCAAAAATTTGGAGTTTCAACGGAAGCCGACATCATTTTTTTCCAAAAATATCACACTTTCGAGCCTGAAATATGATAACCTTTTTTAGGTGTTGTTTTTATCCGCTGGGACTGAGAGCGTGAGATGATGTTTTTGCATAAAACTTGGCAGAAAGCTCGTTAAAAGTACTTGGTCTGTATAGCTCAGAGGTAGAGCATTGGAGCGCTAATCCAAAGGCCCGGGGTTCGAGTCCCCGTACAGCCCAAATCTTTAACGAGCTTGCAAAAGATGACTGATGTCATCACTGTCAACCGTGGAAGCCGTATGGCTACCCATCTACGCTGGAGTACGAAAAACATCATCTCACGATAACCTTTTTTGCTATTAAGCATTTTCCTGAAGAAGTGAAAGGGGGCATCTTACCCCACAGGGTGGGAAAGACGCCCCCTGGTGTTGGGTAAGATGCCCCCTGCACTATAAGTGACATAAATGGGCACGTGAATCGCCTGAACGAATCAGTAGTCCCTTCGAGCCTGCAGTAGACACCAAACGTCATCGTAAGGGCCCTCAAAAGTAGTCGTAAGGGGCTTCAGAGGTCATCTTTAGGGCCATCACAGTCCAGCGCGGCCAAACAAGCCTCCGTGGTGGCGTTCGGAGACCGCTGTGGGGCCCTTATAGGTCTTAATGATGTTTGAGGGCCCTCGAGCCCATCGTGGGGACCTCAGATGCCAGCGCGGCCCGTGGAGCCAACGTGCGAGCCCTCAAAGGATGTCGTGAGGGGCCCTGGAGCCAATAATGGGGCCCACAGAGGCCGTCGTGAGGGCTCTCAGAGTTAGATGCCGCCCAAAAAGTCGCTGTGTGGGCCGAGAGACCGGCATGGGGAGCACCCGATCGTACTGGACTCTCAATAGTCCCAGATCGGCTTTTGCCTCTCACCACAAGTATGCAATAAATGATTTGACGGGCTGCTTGAAGGACAGCCTACGGATTTAGGGGGGCGTCTTTCCCCATCAGGACAGGGGGCATCTTACCCCAAGATACCGAAGTAACATTAAATCAGTACAATTTGTTAGCCATAAAACTACACCCTGAAACAAACTGTTTGGGACACAGTACACGATGTTAATGTATCACGACTGTAGCAAGGGACGCAAAAATTATCTACTTTCTTTGATATTTACAATGTTTTGACACCAAAATATTTTTTGAAAGCAGCAAATAAAAAACATGCAATCACCAGCCAGCCGTTGCCCGACTGAGCTTCGCAAATTTTTGTGCAGTTAACAAGGCAGGCTTCCGCTTTACGCTAAAAACATTAATTTCCCGGTTCGATTCTTTGTTTCGCCGCTAGAGGGGGTGGGGCGTCTTTTCCACCCTGGGCATCTTACCCCACTCTCCCCTATCCATCATATCCTGTCGCTGATTGGATATTCAATTTCGTTTGACGGGTTAGATTTTTGGCGCAGCTTGCGCGAGGAGAACCAAATTTGGCTCACTAGTATCCTTTGCCATTCACTCTAAGCAATGAGTAAAATGAATGCCTTTGGAATATTAGTCGAACGCCAACGGGAACTTTTTGCGTCAGATGCCGTACAAATAAACGAAAAGTGGGTGTATGTGTTCTGGAGGGCGTAGCAGAGAAGCACTTGTTGCTGTAGATTCGTGTTGGGAATGCGGATGTGCGGTTGCACGTGCCTCCTACATATTCTCAGACGTTTGTGGGCTCAAAAACTCTCCTTGGCCTGTTCTGGCGCCGCCCTCTCTCTGCCCAGCAACCCAGTGACTACCCTGTAAATGTCATTCATCCGCGCTAAAACCGTTCACCTCGCTTCAACTGTGAGTAGAGAATAGTTTCAAATGGCCCACCTGGGTGCATCCATCCATTTCTGTAGGAGATAATAGAAGGACGGCTCAGCGGCTGTCAGCTGGAGGCGGTGCTAAAATACGGCATGACAACGCCGCCGTTTCTGCTCCGTTCGGTCGACTTTGTACTTGACAGACAGCTGCACCGACTCTGTCGTGGGTTGAGCAGGACTAGCGCTTTTAGAATGCTCCAGCTAACCTTCAATGTTCTCTGGTGGGACGGTGTTGCCGGGCCGGACTGTGCAGTGTGCACCTCGGCCGCCCACTTAACCACTGGTCCTCCTCAAACTCTATCCCGCGCGACTCTGCCTCTCCAGCACCTGTCCCGTGGGACTCTGCCGTCAGTCCCTCCCTCCCCGGATCCTGTTCTCTGTTCGCTGTTTTCCAGTCTCCACCCGTCAGTCTCAGTCCATTGGGGACAATGGTGGCGCTGTGCTCTGTTCTCCGGGCCGGCCGGAGCTGACCGGTATTGTGTCGGCCTCCGGAGTCCTCCGGCGGCCCCGGGGTCCCCGGCAGTGCGCCGCTGGGGATCTCAATGGGGGGGGGGGGCAGAGATGGGGCGAGTGTGCGGGGGAGTGGAGCGCCACATTCGCCCGGTGCTATGGACCGAGCTCCCGGGCGGGCCGGCGATGAGAAAGGAGTGAATGGTCGGGCGAATGGTCGGTACGGCTGGCAGCGGTCAGGCTGTGGACGCCGGGCCATCGCCGCCTTCCGGCCCCCCGGTGGCGCTCTCATTGATGGGAGGTCTGCAGGGGACGGGCCGCGGTAGGTGGGAGGAGGGTGGAGAGTATGTGGTATAAATATAACGAATTTATCATGGTGTTCAACAAATGTGAGCATATCAAGTTGTTGCAAGCGCATTCTAGAGGGATCGAGGTATCATTAGACGCCGATTTCGTTTTCCTTTCGCGGCTGGTGGTAACATTCCTGTGATAATGGCTCGTGTGCATCGCTCTTCCTGTCTCCTTTGTTTCCCGAATCGTCATCAGTCAGCTGATCATCAGTCATCGTACCATGACTGATGGTAGGCTTCCTACTCCGGGTGCGTTCTTTGTGGTGTCTCGGCTGGCATTATCATATTGCTCTTTTTGATTGTATAGTTATTGGAAATGTTCTGCGTCGTTGTCAAAACGAAATGCCTTATTCACGCCCTCGCTGATTCACGTATGCTCTGCTGCTGCTTACTTTTTGTATTCTGAACTGTTTCTCTGTGTATGGAGAGGAAACCATGCTCCCACCGTTTCGTTGTTACGCCGCCAGATGTCTGTTACGCCCCTCACTGACTCCCGGTACCGCCGCCAGATGTCTGACCCTAGTTGCCCGGTTCTGCCGCCAGGTGTCTGCGACGTTCGCGGCCAGCCTGGTGACGTCGCCGGCGCTGGGCGCCTACCTGGCCCAGGTCTACGACGAGAACATGGTGATTGCGCTGAGCACGGCCATCGCCGTGCTGGACGTGCTCTTCATCCTGGTGGCCGTGCCCGAGTCGCTGCCGGAGAAACTGCGCCCCAACAGCTGGGACAAGACCATCACCTGGGAGCAGGCCGACCCCTTCGCCGTGAGTGGCCACCAAGCGGGCGGGGAGGAGGCGATGGGGGGCGCTAGGTGTGGGGCGGGAGATAGAGGGATGGGTTTGGGTAGTGGGGAAGGCAGGGGTACCGTACACGAATGGAAGGCGGCGAAGCAGGTAACTTGAATTAGGTACGGTGCGTGGAAAGCGGGTGATTGGTTACCAAGCTAGCCGAACTGTTGTTTTCATCTAGTATGATTGGAACCCGCAACGGGAAGCTTTCTAGGAGATAGTAAGAAAAGGCGGAACTCCTATTCATCAGTTTATTCGGATGGTATATTGGATCCTGGCTTCGCCTTCATTTCCGTGCGGCTCTCACCCGAGCCAGTGAAAGCCGCCGTTTGCGTGGGCTGCGCCGGCTGACAGAGCAGGCGATGGGGGGACTCCTCTGACCGGTGGCTCCCGGTCACGTGTCGGTGTGTGTGTGCCGTCACGTGTCCCCACACGGCCACCTGCGGCCTAACGAGGCGCCTCCCTGCCGTCCGTCTCCCTGGACACTGACCAGGCGCGAGCGGACGGCCGCCGGCGACTCCTGACGCGCTCTGTGCTCAGCTGGGTGGCACCGGCTGAGCTAGGGATATGGAAATGCAACGCCGGCGTCCCTCCCAGTTCTTACCCACCGGTCTTCCTAAGCTTTCTGCTTGAGTCTTTTCTCTGTCTTACTGGTCATTTTCCTTATCCTGCCCTGCCTCCCTAAATTGTTCCCACGCCCTTAACGAAGCTCTCTACCTCTCACGTACATACTTCCTGACCTCCCCGGTCTTCCTGCTCCCTGTCTTCCCTACCCTCTCGGCGCCTCTACCGTCCGTGTTTCCGCCTCTCCTCCATCTCCCCACCCCGTGTCTGGGCGCCATATCTCGTGCCTCCGCGTGGCGTCGGTCGCTGCGGCGCTAGTCTGCTCGGCAGCGGCTGAGTTGATTACCGGACGGCACGCTACCACCAGCGCTCTGCACGCTCAGTATATCCCGGAGAGCGGCGGATGCCGGCGGACGGCCGGGGTGGTGGGAGGGACGGGGTGGCTGGGGCCGGTCACAGCTGGTTGGTGGGAGGTGGGGACGGCTAGTCACTAGCCGTCCCCACCTTTCACCAACCAAGTAGCCAGAAGTAGCCTAGAGTCGAAATAGCGGTAAGATTGTGTTTTATCACACTTCAGCACCACGAACTTAGAGATAGGTGTGAGCAAGATTACTTTACTACTAGGTTTGAGCTCGTTTGGACTTCAGAAACATTCAATTACGATCAGAAATAAATAGGGAACGTCTGATTGATCAGCCGGCTCAGCTGTATCACACTCCTCTGATCAGGCCTCCGGTACAGAGAGCAGCGCAGATTCAGTGAACTACTGGCTACATCGATCAGAAGTTTGTGTTCCATTCAGTCGGCGATTACATAACCGCTGTTAGCTATAGTCCGCTCTGACGTGTCTTCTCAGAGGCACAGGCGTCTTGTCGACTGCTGTTGGACAGGGAGAAGAATTGAACCGGTCTTCTGGCAAACGTCTTGTTTTCAGGCAAATGTAACCCTTTGTTGAAGCTTGCTTATGTAACTCTTGTTATCTGTCTCAAGCATGCGAAAGACATCAAGAAATGAGGGCTTCAATAATAATTCCTGATAAGGGATGTGAATGTTTGGCGTACGTATTTGCATATTGCAAACGAAGCTTTGAACGCAAATCGTGGATTATTCTTCACCATTCTTTTTAAATCCTTTATAAAATGATGGCGATATGCATTATTTAAACTTTGTTTTAAAACTTTCAAGAGCAGCTGCTGTCTGAAGTTTATATCGAACTATATACGTTAAGTATAATTCTTGTGAAAATATGAAATATGGTCTGGGTTTTATTGTATGCTGTTGGCCGAGTGGGTGGCGTGGTGATAATTACTCAATGTAGTGGCTCGCCGCTCGGGTGATGAATTACTCCAATTTTCCCATGCCGCTCAAAATGCCGACAGAACTCCGAGTGACTACCGTCTACGGCTGCTTGTTGGGCCACGTTGCTATCAATTCTACCAGGGAAAATGATGGATGGTCCGTTTAAAGTCCTCACGTATTATCGTTTTAAATCGCCCATTATATGCCGAAGTGTTTGTCATGCACTTAGTTTTGTGTGGCGCTAGGGTTATCAAAACATCGGGACGGCATCGCTATGCGCTCCCCGACACCCACACCCGGCGTACTATGTTCCAACACCATTGAAACGCTCGTCCAATTGCGCCATTTCGCCGATCGATTACCGGGCTGACTCGGACGGAGCGTAATTCGAGGGTAACTGCCGGTAATGGCGCCGTTACTTGCGTCATACGTACGTCACGTCAGTGGGATGACGTCACGGTGTCGTCTTGTGACGGGACCTAACGAGGGCCTGAACTCGCTGCCATTGCTGGCATTGGGTGGCGTCTTACACAAGGTAGTGGGGCCGGCCATTGAACCGGGGCGGAGCGCTCTCAGCCGCAGCCAGCGCGTTCGGCCGTGTGGCTGATGGGAGTGCCACCGCCGTGATCGGGCCGAGAGTAACGAGGATCGAGCTACGAGCCAACCATGATCGAGCCGAGGGTAACCGTGATGGAGCTACGAACTACCATGATCGAGCTAAGGGCCATCGAGCTGCGAGCCAACCGTGATCGAGCCAAGGGCGATCGAGCCGCGAGTCAGCTATGATCCAGCCGCGAGCCAGCTATAGCGGAGTCGGTGGCCATCCATGCCGGAGCGGCGGCCGCGCGCCGACCGCCCCCCGGGGGACCGGCGCCGTGCCTTACCCGTCTGCGCCGATCGGCCGCTGTCGTGTCCACCGCCCGCCGCCGGTATGCCTGATTAAGTCGCATCGATCCGAGGAGAGAGCGGTTCGAGGCTCGCACCGGGAGGAGGCTGAGGAGAGAGCGGTACGAGGCTCGCACCGGGAGGAGGCTGAGGAGAGAGCGGTACGAGGCTCGCACCGGGAGGAGGCCGTGGCCCTGCTGACGGCGCTGGCGTTCCTCCGGCTGTGTTCGGAGCTCGAGGAGCTGGCTCGCTGGATCGATGGCCGCGTGCTGACGTGACCTTGATGATGTCATTAGTGTTTATTGTTGTCACATGGTCTTACAGAAGCCGCACTGAAAGCTTTTACGTAATGTGTTCGTTAGTTGCGTGGTAACTCACTATGTTGGTCGATAGGATAGCCCTATTGACGAGCTTTTACCCAGAACGTGCAGCTCTGTTAGGAAATGAAATCGGTCAAGTGGTATCACACATAGACCACTATTGTGTGCTCTGTTTTCCCTGCCTTACTTATGTGTGCCAATGGTCCGTGTGTTCACGGTGCGTTCCCTTCGTCTACAGGCTCTGAAGAAGATCGGCAAGGACCGGACGGTGCTGCTTCTGTGTCTGGCCGTGTTCCTCTCCTATCTGCCTGAGGCCGGACAGTACTCGTGCTTCTTCGTCTACCTGAGACTGGTGAGAGCGGCGAGGGAGACAGACAGAGGGAGGGAGGGGAGAGAGAGAGGGGGGCAGACAGATCGGCCGGCGGTCCCCGATGGAATTACATGCCGTAATCTGTAGAGCGGGAGAGTGGGGAGAGTGGAGGAGGGCGGTGTGTGTGTGTGCGTGTCGGGGCAGAATTGCGGCCTCGTTTCCGATCGGTCCGTACCCCCTGGGACTGCCGCCGCGGTAGGCACCATCGCTCGCCGAGTCTGGTGCAGTGCGGCGCACCGGCGGCAGCGCTGGGGCGTACGCAGCACGGGGCGCCCCGTGACCTTTACCACCCACATGGAGAGTTTCTGTAGCTGTCATAACGCTCTGCTCACCCGGCCGATCAGCGGAGCGCCTCCGCCGCCACTGATGTGACGTCACTGTCCGGGGAGTGATGTCACTCCCGTCGGGACGGGATGACGTCAGGGGGTCGGTGTGCGCCCCCGGAGCCGCCCGGCGATTGATCCGGGCCGGCTGGGAAGAGCGCGGCGGAAGGTCGCGACCCGGAGCCGGGCAGAGTGCCGGAGCGAACCGGATGTGAGCTCCCGCGGGCACGTGGGAGTGGGGCGGGAGGAGGGGAGGGAGTGAGAGTGATGAAAGGTGAGAGGTGCGTGGGAGAGGCCGGAGTGGCGGACAGTGAGTGTATACGCGAGTCTCGCTGTGTACTGAGGAGGGGTGCTGGAGATGGCGCCCGCTCTCCTTGCTGTCACTCTGGTTAGAAGTGGGATGACTCTCCAGCGATGAGCGATGTAACCCTTTAGGTGATTGCAATGTCCTGGGAGACGTCGAATGGTGTGCTTGTACTCTTTTGCCGTTTTCGGCTGGTGTGCGTCGATGAAGTTCAGCCAGGAGGCAGTGTCCCGTGCTGACGTTCTCTTCTGGCCTATGTCCCCAGGTGATGAAGTTCAGCCAGGAGGCGGTGTCTCTGTTCTGACCTGTTCTGTTCTGTTCTGCTCACAGGTGATGAAGTTCAGCCAGGAGGCTGTGGCCATGTTTATCGCCACCGTGGGCATCCTGTCTGTGATCGCGCAGACGGCCGTGCTCAGCTTCCTGATGCGCACCATCGGCGCCAAGCACACCATCATGGTCGGACTCGTGTTCGAGATGCTCGAGCTCATGTGGTGAGTGCAGCGCGCTTGTAAGGACTGTCTACTGACCGAAAATATCTGCCACCCACACCCACAGCACTGTCATATTATCTTCAGTGCGTTTATAGCAGAGCTAACCAACCGCTCTGCAAAGATTCCCTCACCCCCACCCACCCACCCGCGTCCCACATCGTACTGGACTGTGATGTCAGTCCATATCCCTCCCACGGTCCGGCCTTTCCATTGTGCCGGTGGGCTGGTCTCTGTTCGCGTCTGCCACTGACGCGGACTGCCACCGGCAGCTCAGTCGCTCACCACCCGGACGCTGGCTCCCGCCCGCCCCCGCTCCGCCTCCCAGCCCTGGCACCCGCCTGCGTCGACGCCGGCCTGCGTAGGTCCGACGCTTATGAAACTTCCGGCGGTCGTTCCGCGGGCCGACGCGACCCGTGGAGACTCCGGCCGCCTCCGCTATGGCCTTATTGTCGCGCACAGGGTCAGAGCTGCGTGCCGCGCGCTGACAGCCCCCGGCAGCCGACGCCGTGCGGAAATGATGAACTTTGCACCGCCGCGCTCAGTGTCACGTGTTCAGACGAGTGTGTTTCTCGGAGGTCACGTGATGTTTGAGCTAGGTTTCTCGGGTGCGGGCTGGGCTGGTGTTCAGAGCTGGGCGCAGGCTGAGCTGGGATCACGTGGGAGCTGGGTGACCCCCGGTGACTGCCGCCTGGGCTGTGTCTGGGAGCTGGGACCGGGCTGGGTCGGCTCACGTGGTCGGCCCGTGCTCTATTATAGTGCTGGCTGGGCTCACAGCCAGGACAGCCCAGCTCTGCCCAGCGACAGGATCCCAGGGAGGCTCACAGCGAGGGGCTGTGTTATGCCTAATAGAGCGAATCCATCTGACTCAGCAGTGCAGTGCGGTGGGTTGCGGTCGGCTGGGACCGCGGGTTTTCCCACCGATGGGCGGTAGAAGGTAGTCTGAATATGTATTCTGAAATAGTAGTCTGAATATGTTCTGTATGTACTCGATGTGTATAAACACTGAGAGTAGTTGCCCTGTCCTATGTGTTATCCCGTGCTGACGGTCCTGCCCCTTTCCTCCCGTTCAGGTACGGGGTTGGCTCCCAGACGTGGCTGATGTGGGTCCTGTGTGTTATCCCGTGCTGATAGCTCCCTCACCCCCGTTCAGGTACGGTTTCGGCTCCCAGACGCGGCTGATGTGCCGTGGGTACTCTGTGTTATCCCGTGCTGATAGCTCCTTCTCCCCCCGTTCAGGTACGGTTTCGGCTCCCAGACGCTGTACCCCGGTGAACTGACGGCTCTGCCCCTGTGTCCCCCGTTCAGGTACGGTTTCGGCTCCCAGACGTGGATGATGTGGGCGGCCGGCTCTCTCGCGGCCATGGCCAGCATCTCGTACCCGGCCATCTCGGCCTTTGTCTCTATGCACGCCGACGCCGACAAACAAGGTGAGTCCACCGACAAACAGCGGAGTTTGTCAGGAGTGACGGGCTAGGCCACCAGCAACTAAAGCAGTACGTGACAGAAGCTATGTTCGTTTGAATGCTGTGCAGGCGGACTGCGTTTCGAGTTGTTTGAATGTTCAAAATGACGCAGGTGCAAACGTATTTTTGGAAGCATTAAAAGCTTGTTTTGTTTTAGTACGCCGGTTAAGTTTTGGTTATCTTTCTAGGCGCCGTTGGTATGCCTAAGTACTTACTTGAATACAGTGGAATCCGCTTAATAAATCCACGGATAATGAATCCAGCCGCTTATTGTGGCCGCTTGAGCTGTTCACGGATTTCCTCCATAGTTACCCGCAGTTAAAATCCGCTTAATAAATCCACTTACTCCGCTTAATAAAGCCACTCGGGAGTTTCGAAGTCCGCAGTGGCATCTCCCCATTCAAAATGTGGCATCCGACCCGCTCAAAAAGAACCGCACTGGAGCAGCGGTCTGCAGCAGTTGGACTTCCCATGACAGAAGGGAGTTCAGGGGTATCAAGAGCGCCATCACCAAGCACCTCAGAGAAATGTTCCCGGCAAAGCAGGCACCCTCAACTGTTTCGCTGGCATAGCAGGCATGACGGGGAGTGATCGTGGATGGGCATGTCGACTTAATCGCTGTGACAGCTTTGCAGTGTGCCCTGGTTCTTTTCAGGGGCTCCACTGCGGTCGCAGCTGGGGGAGGGGGAATGTCCAACCCTAAAACGCACGCCTTTATGCATAAGGCGACATTACGAAAGTCAAATTATTGGGGGTCCGGCCCCCGTGACCACACCGGTGCGGTGGAGCCCGTGGTCACTTTCATTGTAATAAGTAAGACAATGAGGAATGCTAGCCTGTACGATTGTAGTGCAGGGGAACGGAACGTGCAGCTGCGATACATGCTTTTTAATGAAAGCTGACACCGGTTAATAAAGCCGCCGCTTAATAAATCCAAAACACTTTGTCACCAAGGTGGATTTTTTAAGCGGATTCCACTGTAGTTTTCAAAAATTTGCGCGTTCATGAGAAAAAAACGTTGAACGTCAGAACTATATCAATGTACCGATATATGCAGTTACCATGCCATATATAGTGAGGCGACAGACAGGCGGCACGTTATCTTTCCACCGCCCCCACCGCCCGTGTATCTGACCGCTCGCCCTCCTCCGCCCCCACCGCCCGTGTCTCTGACCGCTCGCCCTCCGGTCGTGCAGGCGTCGTGCAGGGCGTCATCACGGGGATGCGCGGCCTGTGTAACGGCCTGGGCCCGGCGCTGTACGGCTTCATCTTCTACCTGTTCCACGTGGACCTCGAGGACGAGGCCAAGCTGCAGGCGGGCGGCGACGTGCGGCCGGCCAACGCCACGCGGCAGCACCCGGGCATGCCGGAGGTGAGCGGGGGAGCGGGGAGCAGCGACCCTCGGCGGGCCGGGGAGGGGTCTGCAGCGAGGGACCGGGGCGGAGGGGATGACTACCTGACGGGTGTGGGATGGTCTGGGTGTGCTCGGACACGGCTCGGCGGAAAAGAAAGTTGTCGGTAGGATGGAATATCATGGATGGGTGGTAAAAGGTTTCATTTCCCTCATTCATAAAATTCATGTGTAATTAAGACACTAGCAAAATTATTGTTGGCGGAAAGATATTTGTGCCAAAAAAAGTTTTTTTTTAATCGGCTTTGGAATTGTCACCACGTCATTCCAGTATTCTAACGCCTATCGACGGGCCTTTGGGGAGGTGGTTGTGAGATCGAGTGACTGATGGTTTGATGTGGCTGGTAACTATTATGTGGCCTATAATGCATGGTGGATATCATCAGTGTCTTTCGGCTTACGGACTGTGTGTATACCGGTGTGACGCACGCTCTAACGCTTTGTGGTGGTGGATGACGGCCCATGAGCCTAACATCAAAGCAGCTGCTATCCTGTTGATCCGCTGTTGGCTCTCTGTATAGACCCCGCGCGCTGTGGGACGGTGGCGGTGAGTGTGCCGCGTTGACTGGTGGTGGGTGTGTCGCTCTGTGTGACGGTGACGGTCTGGTGGGCGCTCCCCGGGCCCGGTGCCGCTCCCTGTCACGTTGACTGGACGGCGGCCGCCCCGTGTGTTGACTGGTGGCGGCCGCCCCGTGTGTTGGGTCGGTGGCGGGCGCTCCGTTTGTTGGGTCGGTGGCGGGCGCTCCGTGCGTTGGGTCGGTGGCGGGCGCCCCGTGTGTTGGGTCGGTGGCGGGCCGCTCTTTGTGTTGGGTCGGTGGCGGGCCGCTCTTTGTGTTGGGTCGGTGGCGGGCGCCCCGTGTGTTGACTGGTGGCGGCCGCCCCGTGTGTTGGGTCGGTGGCGGGCGCCCCGTGCGTTGGGTCGTTGGCGGGCGCTCCCCGGGCCCTGTGCCGCTCCCTGTCACATTGACTGGTGGTGGCCGCTCTGTTTCAGCTGGTGCCCGGGCCGCCGTTCGTGTTCGGCGCCCTGCTGGTCATCTGCGCCCTGCTGGTGGCCGCCTTTATACCGGACGCGCCGATCGCGGGCGGCGCCTCGTCGCTGCGCGGCTCCGTCAGAAAGGCGTCAGGTGCGTACGGCGGCGGACGGCCGGCTGCCCGCGCATACCCGCCACCGAGTGTGGATCCGCTACAGAGTACATAGCACACTTACAGACTAGGTAGTGTTTGTTGGAACAGGAAAGAAACGGGTTTTACCAGACTAGGTCGTCCATCACCCCTGAAAAATCTACTGATGAAAGAAGTCTCTGAATTATTTCCCGATCGATCCGCGGGGAAATTTATCATTACAAACACGTCGTTAGTTTTCGCCCGTCAGACGTGTTTGTCAGTAAATGTCGTGCGAGGTCGCCCTGCCCGCGCCATTAATCTGCACTGCCCAAAGTTTGGGTAGCTACCGCTGGGGTGGACTTACAATCACTCAGAGTTCTGACTGTGGTAGCTCTCTCGTGTTGCTGACTTGGGCTCGGTCGATGATGTCACCACACCACCAACAGTAGCATTGTGCCGCACTAGACGGATAAAGTCCCCGGGGGACGCAGACGGCTGTTGTGGCAGGGATCGACGACAAAGACGTTGATAAGCTGTTTACTGAGAACGGGCTGTATTGATTGCAGCTGACGTATACGGGCTACTTAGTGCCGCGTTTTAAGGATATTATGACCCGTAGTGAAATGTGTGTTCGTATGTGGAATAGGTGGAGAGTGGTGGTTTTCTTTCGCCGCTCCTCCGCTAGCCCGGTTACACGTGTTCATCAGGCCGGGTTTCAGCGTCTTTTGGCCACATCATTAAACGCCCCGTGCCCTTTGCAGGTAATTCAAACGAATTGCACTACGAATTCGGGCACAAGAAGAAGGACAGCCTGGACGGCGAGGCGGCGCCGCTCGAGGACTCGCTATAGCCGCCCGTCGGCTCCGTCCCGGGCCGCGTGACGGCGGCCCGCTGCCCGCAAACATTCCACGGCGCGCCGCGCGGCCGCCCCCGCCGACCACGGTGTCCCAGTCTGTGTGAGGAGCGCGGACCGGCGGCCGGCCCGGTCCGCCATTCAGTCAGTGTGTGCCGTGTCTGTGAGTGAGCGACTGTGAGCGACTGTGTGTGTGTGAGAGAGTGGTACGGAGGCGCCGGGCGCAGGGCGGCAGGTCGGCGCCGCCCGGCTGTGACCAGAGCCCAGCGCCGCACGCACGCAGCGCCGAGACGCGCCGCTACAATCTCGTGACTGTTTTATTTCTCATGCATTGTTGGTGGGGACCGTCTGCCGTTTTTCGTAAAATATAATGTGTCCAAATATGGATGTTGACGTGTTCGCAAAATGATCTATGTGAAGTTCATAAAAGCAGAATAAAGGTATTTTGCCGAATTCGTTGAATCAATTGTCGTACTACACCGGTGCCTAGAAATGTGATGTAGTGTGACATTCGCGATGGCACAGCGTATCGCCGGGTGAAATGTTTCGTGAATCATTAGATACGATTGCCGCCCAAATCCGTTAAGAGTGCCTTCTGTCAGATAAGCTGTGTGGTTAGGCCACGCTTCCCCGCGTGAGTCATTCTCATTTCAATCTCTGAAGAGCTGCGTTAGGCAACCACTTTGCTGCTCCATCAAGCAATCGCCTCCTCTCGGTAGGTCCGATGACGTCAGACTGGTTTTATCGCTGCCGCGGTAGCGCCACCAGCCGAGCTGAGCTGCTCCCGCCTCTGACGGGAGGGACGGAGCCGTCGGCCGGCCGGGCCGCTGAACGGTCGGTCGGTCCGTTAACTCCGGGTCCATTCCGAGGCGGCAGTTGAGCGGTGGAATTAAACTCGGGCCGTCTATCGCTGAAACTAGCAGCGAACTCAGTTTGTGGAAATGGGGATCAGGCTGGCGTGATTTCGTCGCGAGCATTAATTGTCGGTGAATCGAGACGCCCAAATCATCAACTGTTGCTAGCAACAGTAAGGAATAAAATGATTAGGTAACAAGCGACCGTTCCGGGGATTGAAATTAAATTAGGCTGATGTGTCTTATCATGTAACGTCTCAAATCACGGGCCATTGCGCACTCGTCCAAAGGGCTTTAATTCAACTGACGGACAAGTGCATGATCCGCCGCCACTCGGCTCATAATTGGTGGCCAGTTTGATGTCACAAATCTCAGCTCATCCCTACGTGACTGATTGGCCCCATAAAACCGAATGAGTTTTATTACAGTTGGCAAGCTGTCGGCTGAAATAACCACGCCAAGGGTGATGTTAGCCATAGGTTTTCTTCAGCAGATCTCGCAGTCTTACAGCTTATATCAAAGCTCTCAAAGATGAAAGCGTGGTACTGTTGATGAATTATCAAATTCATGAATATCATACGCCTTTTTCCGCGCGACTTGGCATTTCCATCTCCCTATTCAGTTGCATGGTTATTCCGCGGTTCGCAGTGGCATGTTAACGCCATCGTAAGTTCCGTGTAGATGCCGCTGCAGTCGCTGCCCTAGTAGCACACAACATTGATACAACATCGAGATATGTTGAAATCAGGTTGATTGTCAATATTGGTGCTTCAACACGAATTCAACATTGATTCAACGTTGATATCACGTTGAAATTTGGTTGTGCTTTGTTGAATCTTGGTTGAAGTTCAACATTGTAGTTCAACATCGATACAACATTGTCCCAATGTTGAGTTCACAATATCGACAGATGTAGAATTTCAACATTGTGATTCAACATCGATACAACATTGTCATGATGTTGATTTCACAATATTGATAACAGTAGAGTTCCAACATTGTGATTTAATTACTATATTGCCCCGCAGTTGTGTTGACACTTGACAATATTGAAGGGAGAATGCTCCCTCGGGTGTAAGGGGTCCCATGAGCTCGACAGGTCCTAAGGCGTCAATCGGACTAGTAAGGGTGGGATCACTGAGGTTCCAACTAGACGAATATGGTCTTATAGAAATAGTACCTATTGGTATCTTATATAAGCATATACGTCTTGAATATGACACAGGTATAGAGAGTTATAAAGTGAATCGATCCTTAAATAAAGATAGCTCTACTTCATAAATCTTTTTATATCATCCTCAACCTACGTTGAATTAAGCAGCATTATTGTAATAGGCATTATTTTATTCGGGTGCCACCGGTGCCATTCAAGTATCACGGACCACGGTAGGTCCTACCAGTCGTGCGCTGAGCTCTTTCAGAGACCGTACCGACTGGAATCTAGCGACCGTTGGGCGCTGACTGTTTTGAAGACTGTACGCGGCCGGCAGCGGGCGGTCCCATCCTCGCCTCCGGCTAGAGAGGGGGAGACCGCGACAGGGGACCGCGCGTCCCCATCCCGTTGTGCCGGCTCGCAGAGTGCGGACGGGTGTGTTGAGTGTGTGGTGTCCAGTGTCGTCTTGCGTCTCCTCTTCCGACCATGTAGGTTTCCGCCAGTTTCTGCTGTGTGACAATCAGTGCATTTATCCTAGTTCTTGCAGTGCTAAGTTTTAAAAAAACTGGCGCTGAAACGTTCTCTTCAAAATGGTGGCGATCACCGTCGTCACTTACTTGCCTGCGGCAAAGGGAAAAAGTGCTGCCGGTGGCGTAATGTAGCGCCATGCCTTGAAACAGGGCCCGGTAAGTATAAAAGAATAGATGCAGGGTAGTGGGATGCATTAAGGGTACATGTGTCATACATGCACTTACATAAGTATCTATTGAGCAAAATGACTGAACTGAATTTACTCAAAGGCCCAATGTATTACCGTTGTTACATAGGAATCTCCGCTTTGTTACAGGAGTGCGAGGCTCGACGGGCGACTCAACCCCCACGGCCCTGACTCAACCGCTCAAGATGTGAAAATGGCGGAGACTGAGCGGCGGCCGAGGTTGTGTGACGTGACGTGATGTGTGAAGTGTAGCTGACTCGAAAAAGTGAAGAGCTGTGCATATATCATAGAAATACATTTTCCCCCGAATATTGACTGTGACGGTGACACTGGAATATTTTAGATAATTACGGGATACGTGATTTCGTACACGTATAGGTCTGTCGACAACATCGAGACAATGTTGTATCAATATGGAAACAATATTGAATCAACCAAGAATCAACATCGAGACAATGTTGTATCAACACCGAGATAATGTTGAATCAACCAGAAATCAATATCGAGATAATGTTGAATCAACCAAAAATCAACATCGAGACAATGTTGTATCAACATCGAAACAATGTTGTACAATGTTGTCCTGTCAATATTGATACGATGTCGAAATTCAACATCGTATCAATGTTGAAAGTGGCTAACAGATTGACATCGATACAACATTGTTGTCAATATTGATACAACATCGATACAATGTTGATGTGCTACTAGGGTGACGGCGCTCCCCACGTTCAGCCTGCTTATAAAGTAGCCGATAGATGTCACCGGTATCGAACGCCTGAAGGGATACTGTACCGCAGGGCTCCCCCGTCAGGCAGGGCGCATGGGCTTATTCGTTCGGGCCAGGCAGTCACACAGAGGTTTGTTGCCTGTTGGTCGTTGGACGTTGGATTAACCCTCGCCCTGGCAGGGGGGGGGGGTCGATGCGACCCCCCCCTAAGGTTTTTCAAAGATAGCGTAAAAACGGCGGCGCGCAGCGCCGCCAAATTTGGCACAGCCTATGGGGCAACCTTTTTACATATGACCTGAAAATTTCAGGTCCGGGTGACCTTGGGTCAGGTCACCAGGTCAGAAAAACCGGTACAAGGTCATGGTCAAATTTCAATTTTCTTTTCGCACCTGTCCTGCTCACAGTTTTGAACTGATTTCCTTCAAACTTTCAGGGTGTGCTAAGTTCACCGAGTTGTATAACATATAGTATAGTTCGGGTTTTTTGAGGTCACTGACCTGAGGTCAGTTAGAGGTCATTACGTCGTAATCAGGGGTGTCGATTTTTCAAAATGGTTGGGGGTGCTCAACCCCTGCACCGGGTGAAAGATTGCAGCTTTGCCATGGGGGACAACCGTACATACAAGGCATGGTTGGGTATCCTCATAAGGTACCTACTGATAATCCTGGGATTTCCACTAATATTTCCCAAAGGTTGAACGTTCTTCAGCATCATTCTGCTCGTCCTGGTAGGTACTTGGCTACCTTATTACATAAATATGTCTCCGAAAAAAAGTCGTACATTTGCCGGCAGCTGGTTGCAGCCCCGGCACTTCGGTAATAAGGCGACAGTAACCGATGACGGCGATTAGCACCGGTGCAGCAGCCCCTGCGGTCCGCAGGAGCGGATATTGCGCGGAGGGAACGGTAGCTACGAAGCTCTGGCGGTAATCAGACGATCACAATAATCTCTGATAATGACAGGTGATCGCATTTCGATATTTATGGGTTTACGATTTTCCAGTCAGTGGCGTAGCCAGGTGGGCCTGTGAGGCACATGCCCCCCCCCCATCAGGTTCAGGGGCCCCTCGGGTTATTCGGGCCTGAGGGGCCCTGCGGCGCCAATTGGCCGCTGAGGGTCCACGTTGGCCATATTTGGACTAAGTAGGGCCCCACAGGGCTCGTAAGAACACCTCATGGGCCCACAAGTACCAACATTAAGATCTCCATAAGGGCCCCAAGCCAGCCTCTGAGGCCCACTTGCCGGCCTCTGGGGGTCCTAACCGGCCTATAGGGGGCCAGCTCTAGGAGCTGCACACCCGCCTGTAATGGCCCCACACCCATTTCTCTGAGGGCCCCTATAACGGCGACTGTGAGGGCCCTCACCGGCGCCCCTGAGCGCCACACCGGCGTCTCTAAGGGCCACACACCCCTAACTCTGAGGCCCTACACCAATGGCTTTAAAAACCCTACATGGGCGGTTCTGAGGGCCCTTGTCAGTTACCAGCGACCCTGACGATCCCACACAGGTGACTCGGAGGATCCCAGCGGCGTCTGAGCGCACCATACCAGTCTCTGAGAACCCCACAAGGCTTCTGAAGGCACCGGTGACCTCTTAATATCTTCTTGTCGGCCTATGAAGGGTCCGTTCCGTAACAGCAGTTCTGAGGGCCCCACGCGCGCCTGTGATGGCCCTAAACCAGTGTCTCTGAGAGCCCCCACAACGGCGCCTGTGAGGGCCGTCACCGGCGACTGTGAACCCTCCACACCGGCGGCTCCGAGGGCCCCACATTGCCATATCTGAGGGCCCCACACTAGTGCCTCTTAAGGCCCTATATCGGCGGCTCTGGGGGCCCAACATCGTAGCTTCTAAAGGCCCCCAAGTGCGCATGTGACGGCCACCCACCGGTGACATTTGAAGGCCCCACACCGGCTACTCTGAGGGCCCCATCGGCGCTGAGTCCGTGTCGGTCTCTAAAGACGACCCCACAGGGTTTCTTAAGGTACCACCGGCCTTTGA